GACATTGCTACTACATTGGCATTGCTACTACATTGACATTGCTACTACATTGGCATTGCTACTACATTGGCATTGCTACTACATTGGCATTGCTGCTACATTGACATTGCTACTACATTGGCATTGCTACTACATTGCCATTGTTGCTACATTGACATTGCTGCTGCATTGACATTGCTGCTACATTGACATTGCTGCTACATTGACATTGCTGCTACATTGGCATTGCTGCTACATTGACACTCGTGCACAGCACGTGCCCCTGGTGTTGTTGATACACTTGGGCTACGCCCATCCCCAGACCCTTATAAAGAGTTTTCCTTGAGAGGCTGACCCCTCTGCTTGATGACGACCGCTTGGTGTTGCCATGGAAACGTCGTGATTTGTTTCATTTTATTTCCAACTAAGTGACTTTAACGAAATAACCAAAGAGAAGGTTTAGTTTTAGTCTCGATGGGTCTCTATGGTTCTCTGTGGTTCTCTATGGGTCTCTGTGTGTCTCTATGGGTCTCTATGGGTCTCTGTGTGTCTCTATGGGTCTCTGTGTGTCTCTGGGTCTCTGTGTATCTCTATGGTTCTCTGTGTGTCTCTATATGTCTCTGTGTGTCTCTATGGGTATCTGTGTATCTCTATGGGTCTCTGTGTATCTCTATGGGTCTGTGTATCTCTTTGTGTCTCTCTGTCTCTATGTATCTCTATGAGTCTCTACGTATCTCTGTGAGTCCCCATGCGTCTGTAATTTCCACATGACAACGATGACAGCGGCAACGTCGTTGAGCGATCGCCTTCCGTGGTAAAATGTAAAAATTTATTTTTTTATAGTTTAGTTTAATTACCACGGCCGTCACCGCCACCACAGCCGCCACCACCACCAGCGCCACCACAGCCGCCACCACCACCACCGTCACCACAGCCACCGCCGCCACCGCCATCACCACAGCCGCCACCACCACCACCACCACAGCCGCCGCCGCCGCCGCCGCCACCACCAGCGCCGCGTCTCGGTGCGGAAGCTTCGTAGAAATCAACTGACGCCATCTCCCCGGGCAGCCACGGCCTTCTCCGCGCCGTCCCCGCTTTGCCAACGCCGCAGCTGCGGACGCAGATTCAGGCCCAACGGCGAACGGTGAGCCGAGCGAGCGCCGAGCCTGACGCGGCCGTGACGAAGAAGACACACGGCCGCTGTGAACCTGACACACGGCCGCTGTGAACCTGACACACGGCCGCTGTGAATCTGACACACGGCCGCTGTGAACCCCATGAGAGAGACACACACACACACCCAGCATCAAGAAGATGGCCGTGGTGAACATCACACGACCATTACAAACCTGAAACGGCCACTATTAACCTGACACGACCACTATGAACCTGACATGACCACTATGAATCTGACACGACCACTATGAACCTGACATGACCATTATGAATCTGACATGACCACTATGAATCTGACATGACCATTATGAGTCTGACATGACCACTATGAATCTGACATGACCACTATGAATCTGACATGACCACTATAAATCTGACATGACCACTATGAATCTGACACAACCACTATGAATCTGACATGACCACTATGAATCTGACATGACCACTATGAATCTGACATGACCATTATGAATCTGACATGACCATTATGAATCTGACATGACCACTATTAACTTGACATGACCACTATGAATCTGACACCACGTGGTGCCGCCGTTGAACCTGGCCATTCATAAATCACGAAACGTCGTGATTCATTTTATTTCTTTATACCTACGTGACTTTAGCGAAAGAACCAACGAGTAATGTTTCTATTTATATAAAGATACCGGTTGGAAAACTCCACGAGCTAAGTGGAAAAATACCGTAGAGGTAAAAACGAATAAAACTTTTTTTAAAAAAGTTAATTTTTTTACGAATAAAACTTTTTAAAAAATTATTTTTTTTATACTTTTACCTCACCAGGTACAGCCCGCTGAGGTATTTATTAACTTAGGTAAGATAAAAAAATAAATGAAAACAACCTACGTTGTATGAAAGCTTCAAATCTAGAATTTGTTAACTTATTTTGTAAGGAAGTTAAAGCAACAGAAGTTGCTTATCGTAAGTGTGGGGGTTTTTAAAATGTAAAACATTTTTTGTAAACGCTCCTAAACATTCATATTCTTGGTTCTTTCGATAAAGTCACGTAGAAAGGAAATAATAAAATAATAAACCAATCAAGGTATCACGACGTTTCGATTGCAATCATAATGAGGTGTCAAATCCACAGCAAGAAATGTTTGATTGTTTTAATAATTATTATGTTATTGTTTCCCTTCTACGTGGTGACTTCACCCAAAGAACAATAATTTTAGTGTTTTACAATAATTGTATTGTTTTATATTTTTTTTATTTTATTGTTTCCCTTCTACGTGGTGACTTCACCGAAAGAACCAAGAATAATAATTTCATATTTTTATTATTTTATATTTTTATTAGTTTATTGTTTCCCTTCTACGTGGTGGTGACTTTACCGAAAGAACCAAGAAAAATAATTTTATTGTTTTATATTTTTATTATTTTATTGTTTCCCTTCTACGTGGTGGTGACTTTACCGAAAGAACCAAGAATAATAATTTTATTGTTTTACAATAATTTAATAGTTTTATATTTTTATTATTTTGTTTCCCTTCTACGTGGTGGTGACTTTACCGAAAGAACCAAGAATAATAATTTTATTGTTTTACAATAATTTAATAGTTTTATATTTTTATTATTTTATTGTTTCCCGTTCTACGTGGTGGTGACTTTACCAAAAGAACCAAGAATATTAATTCAATTGTTTTATATTTTTTATTATTTTATTGTTTCCCTTCTAACGTGGTGACTTTACCAAAAGAACCAAGAATAATAATTTTATTGTTTTACAATAATTTAATAGTTTTATATTTTTATTATTTTATTGTTTCCCGTTCTAAGTGGTGGTGACTTTACCAAAAGAACCAAGAATATTAATTCAATTGTTTTATATTTTTTATTATTTTATTGTTTCCCTTCTAACGTGGTGACTTTACCAAAAGAACCAAGAATAATAATTTTATTGTTTTACAATAATTTTATTTTAAATTTTTATTATTTTATTGTTTCCCTTCTACGTGGTGACTTTACCGAAAGAACCACGAATATTAATTCAATTGTTTTATATTTTTATTATTTTATTGTTTCCCTTCTAACGTGGTGACTTTACCAAAAGAACCAAGCATAATAATTGTATTGTTTTACAATAATTTTATTGGTTTATATTTGTATTATTTTATTGTTTCCCTTCTAACGTGGTGACTTTACCAAAAGAACCAAGAATAATAATTTAATTGTTTTACAATAATTTAATTGTTTTATATTTTTATTAATTTATTGTTTCCCGTTCTACGTGGTGGTGACTTTACCGAAAGAACCAAGAATAATAATTGTATTGTTTTACAATAATTTTATTGTTTTATATATTTTTTATTTTATTGTTTCCCTTCTAACGTGGTGACTTTACCAAAAGAACCAAGAATAATAATTTTATTGTTTTACAATAATTTTATTGTTTTATATTTTTTATATTATTTTATTGTTTCCCTTCTGCGTGGTGACTTTACCGAAAGAACCAAGAATAATTGTATTTTACTTTACCGAAAGAACTAAGAATATGAATCCCTGCAGTCACGAAAGCTTTAAATCGAAATATTTTGTTCACTCAATAAAAAAAATAGTTTAGATTTAAGCCCTGAGGGGAGTGGGTGGGGGGGGGCACTTATATATTAACTTTAACATAATTTAAACAGTAACACACACGTCAAATATTAGTCGATTTTTTAGTCACTGTTTAATTTGCAAAAAAAATTAAACGGTAGTTGTTTTAAACATTTTTAACGCGTTCAAAGATTACCTGAGGACACCAATATATTTAATTTCACGTAATTTAAACACAATAACACACACGCACGTCGAAACTTAAGTCACTGTTTACATTTGTAAAAAAATAAAATCATAAAAGTTGTTTTAAAAAATAATGTACGCGTTAAAAAATTACCTCAGGACTTTGCGGGGGGGTTGGTTGCTAATGAGGGAAATATTTAATTAAATACGTCATGGTGGGGGGGGAATTCGTCACGCGCTCAGATTTTTTCCCGCCAAAACCCCCTCTCCTCCCCCGCCGCGGTCACATGACGTCATCTCCCCGCTTGACGATCGCGCGGACGTGACGTCATGTAGCCGGTGTGCGGCCGTCGTCGAATCGTCTCTCTCTCTCCCTCCCCGCCCTTAACATTTCCGATCATCCGATTGGACGACATTCGAGCAGCTGCTTGGGTTAGGCCAATGGGAACGGTCGACCCTGGGGGATGCGGGGGGGGGGAAACTCACAAGCGGGCCAATAAAACTCGAGGATTTCAACCGAGGCGCTTATACGTATTGGGGAATTCGAGTACATTTATTGAACGAACTCTAGCGTGACATTTATTACTATGCATAGGGGTGGTTCTGCCTTACTCGACCAATCAGGGAAGGGAACGGAGGGGGTATTGGGGGGCTTCAACTCAACCAATCAGGGAAGGAAACAGGGGGTTGGAGGGGGGGTGGTGGGGGGTTGTGGGGGAGCCTTCAACTCAACCAATCAGTGAAGGGAACAGGTCGGGGGGTGGGGGGGGCCTTCAGTTCAACCAATCAGGAAAATATACAGAGGGTTAGAGGGGGGTGGTGAGGGGGTGGTGCCTTAAATTCAACCAATCAGGAAATGGAACAGTGGGGGTGTGGGGTGGAGGGGGTTGTCGGGAGGGCCTTAAACTTAACCAATCACGGAAGGGAACAGTGGGGGGTAGAGAGGGGTTGAGGGCGATGGTGGAGGGGGGGGGGCTTCAACTCAGCCAATCAGAGAAGAGAACAGAGGGAGGAGGTTAGGGGGGGGAAACTCCAACTCAACCAATCAGGGATGAGAATAGGGGTGGGGGGGGGTGTGGCGAGTTGGTGGTGGAGGACTCAAACTCAACCAATCGCGGGGAAGGGAACAGGATGGTAGGGGGGAGGGGGGGGAGCTCCTCCACCTCAGCCAATCAAAAGGAGAGAAGCGCGCGCGGGCGCCTCCCCCCACCGCACGGGGACAGCTACGGAAGGCGACACGAGGAGCGAAAAGGCGATCGCGAATTACCCCCCCCAGCAACCACCCCCTGACAACATTGTAAGTTTTAATGTTTTAATTGTCTGTCTTTATCTTTTAAAACGTCGGTTGCGCATAGAATACAAGTCGGGCGGGGGGGGTGGAGGCGTGTACGGTTGATAACGATGAAGAATAATTCCACACCGCCTTTTAAGATTCGATAATTGTTCGTTTGTTTAAGTGCGCCCACCACCACCACCCCCACCACCACCCACAATTCGCTTATTTATAATTTCGAGCGAAGGCTACGGAAAGCCGCGCGCTGGCCTTTTGTGGTCGGAATTAAAAAATCGCGCTTCTAGCGAGGGTGGAGGGAGGAATGTTTCCAGGGCCCGTCTATGGGTGGTGGTGGTGAATAATGAGGCAGTTGGACCCAAAAAAAAATATATAAAATTTGTTTTAACAATTAAAACGTTGTCGAGGCTTAATCAGTCGCCCGTCACGACGTTAACGACAACGCAACGCCGCTCGTCGTGTAACGTCGATGCATTTGACGTTAAAAGAATAACAATAACAACAAAAATCGATGAGGGGGAAATTATCTCCCGCCCGTCCCCACCACCTTAGGCCTTAAGGCCTCGGTCTCTCCCCGCCCAGCCCCCTACACACACGGCCCACGCATTCAGGAAAGGCCGTAGGCGTGGCGGTGACCTAGGCCCCGATTCCGTAAAACTAATTATTTATAATTTAAAATGTTAAAAGCAATTGGATCGATTGCTTTGTTATTGCGAAGTTTAAAAAACATCTACTGCACGATACTTTTGCTTTTATTGTAAAACTGACAATCGCGCTGTGCTGTAATCGGCCTTGGTCGATCGGCTGATGGATGAATAACCTCGACTCGCACAGAGACTCGCAGATACTCAGAGACACTCATAGAGACACTCACATAGAGACACAGAGAGACACTCATAGAGACACACATAGAGACACTCACATAGAGACACAGACACTCACAGAGACACACATAGAGACACTCAGAGACACTCATAGAGACACTCACATAGAGACAGAGAGACACTCATAGAGACACTCACAGAGAGACACTCACAGAGAGACACTCATAGAGACACACATATAGACACTCAGAGACACTCACATAGAGACACTCATAGTGACACACAGACACAGAGACACTCATAGAGACACTCATAGAGACACTCACATAGAGACACAGAGAGACACTCATAGAGACACTCATAGAGACACTCATAGAAACATAGAGACACTCATAGAAACAGACACATAGATACCCATAGACACACACATAGAGACACTCATAGAGACAGAGAGACACGCATAGAGACACTCATAGAGACACTCAGAGACAGAGAGACACAGAGAGACACTCACATAGAGACACTCAGAGACACTCATAGAGACACTCAGAGACAGAGAGACACACATAGAGACACTCACTCAGAGACACTCAGAGACACTCACATAGACACTCAGAGACACTCATAGAGACACTCATAGAGACTCGCAGATACTCAGAGACACTCATAGAGACACTCACATAGAGACACTCAGAGACACTCACAGAGACACAGACACAGAGAGACACTCATAGAGACACACACATAGAGATACCCGTAAAAACATAGAGACACCCAGAGACACATAGAGACACACAGAGACACATAGAGACACTCGGAGAGACACACAGAGACACAGAGAAACACAGAGACAGAGAGACACATAGATACCCATAGACACACACATAGAGACACACATAGACACACATAGAGACACATAGAGACACTCAGAGAGACACTCAGAGAGACACACATAGAGACACACATAGAGACACTCGTAGAGACAGAGAGACACACAGACACAGAGAGACACTCACATAGAGACACTCAGAGACACAGAGAGACACATACATAGAGACACACATAGAGACACTCATAGAGACTCATAGAGACACACAAAGAGACACGCAGAGAGACACATACATAGACACATACATAGACACACAGAGACTCGCAGATACGAATAGAGAGACACATAGAGACACTCACATAGAGACACCTACATAGAGACACACATAGAGACACTCATAGAGACACATAGAGACACTCAGAGACACACAGACAACAACAACCGCCATTCGCCACTAAGTGGCGGTGACGTCACCACGACGCTTGTGCTAGGCCATGTGCACCTTGAGGCCACGTGAATTGTCGAACGCCCGCGGGCAGGAGGTCACGGGGCAGACCCAGGTGCCACGGGTCGACTGACTGAGTTGACTGGCTGATGCACCACCTGTGCCCCCTACTGTGCCAACCTGCTGTGCTTTAGCCACCCGGCGCTCTGCTCGTTGTTGTGAGCATCACTCCTCCGCCCTCCGTTGTTGTTGGAGGGCGACTGCCTCCAACTGCCCAGTAGCATCCTTCACGAGCCTCCTCCACAGAGGCCGATCTTGACACCGCTGGTACCAGTCATCGGCAAGTCCACTCAGTTCCACGTCCTCCTGTACCACATCACTCCATCTTTGCTCTAGCCCGTGCCGCGCCCGTTTAGCCCCCTCGATCCGGCCGAACAAAAGCTGTTTAGGCATTCGGTGGCTGGGCATGCGGGCTACAGGACCCAGCCATCGCAGCCTTCCCCGCCGGAGGAGCTCACCGATGGGACCTTGCCCAGATCTTTCAAGGATTTGTGAGCTCCTCACACAATCCAGCTTGGTTAAACCCAGGATGGATCGTAGGCAGGCCAGCCTAAATGTTTATAACCGGCGAAGATGTTCCATTAGGGGGGGTCCACGTTTCGCAAGCGTAGAGAAGAGATGGAATGACCGTGGCCGAGAAGACCTGAAGCTTAGTGCGGAGCAACAGACCAGGTAGCTTCCACACAGCGTTATGCAACCGATGAAAATATATTGCCACTCGACTGATTCGGAGTGAGACCTCTGCTGTTAAACTGGAGCCGGTCATAAGCACACTGCCCAGATATGGGAAACTCTCCACTCTCTCCACAACTGCCCCATCACCGATTGGGAGTTGGGGTGGAGTGTCCGATGGTACAAAATACCCAGGCAGGTGCTTAGTTTCGGTGGGGCTGATGGTAAGGCCCCATCTCTTAATGGCATGCTCCAGTCTCAGCAGCAGCATCTCCAACTCCTCCTCTGAATGAGCAGTTATTACCAAATCATCGGCATACATAACGTGGTTGAGCAATAGGGAGCCATCCCTTGACCGCACTCGGGCATCGATCATCCTCCCATTATATCTGTACCAAATGGAGATTCCCCCGGTACAGCTATTGAAGGCTTCACGAACTACATGGTCAAAATAGATGTTAAATAATGTGGGAGCCAGAGGACATGCCTGTCTCACCCCAAGGTGTACAGGGAATGGCTCTTACTCCCGGCCACGTAGTTTTACCCGGGCCCGCTCACCATCATGAAGGTCCTTAATGATCGTGAGCAGAGGGTTAGGGACTCCAAAAAGCACGAAGAATAACCCAGAGCCCAGGCCTACTGATGGTATCATAGGCCTTGACCGGGTCAATAAAGCAGAGTTGTAGGTCTTGCTGGAATTCCCTACACCTCTGCTGTAGCAGACGGACAGAAAATATGGCATCTGTGCAGGACCGCCCTTTCCTGAAACCGCATTGGGGCTCCGCAAGCCTCTCCTTAGCGTGCCTGGCAAGTCGATGTTGAATAATCCTTGCCAGGACCTTTTCCGGCACACTGAGGAGTGAGATGCCCCTGTAGCTGTTACAGTCTGTGCGGTCCCCCTTCTTAAAGAGGGGGACCACCAGGGCATCCTTCCAATCCTGCGGAACCCATCCAGTGGTCCAGACTGTTGTTATGATGTCATATAGGGCAGTCTGTGCACAAACGCCACCCTCCCTCAGCATTTCGCTTGGGAGATCATCTCTGCCCGGTGCCTTTTCCGGTCTCAGACTCCGGATCGCCTTCAGTACTTCCTCAACAGATGGCACTTCAGCCAGCCACTCACAGGGGGTGACTTCCTCCAATATTTGAGGCACCGCAGCCTCAGCAGGGTCATCCCCACTTTGTGCCACGATGTTTTCCTGGCTGAGGGATTTTCCCTCCCCCAGGACCTCGCAGAAATGCTCAGCAAATCTGCAAACCTGTTCCTGGGGGTCGGAGATTGGATCATCGTTTTTTCCCCTAATGATGGTAATAGGTGTGGCACTGCAGGTTACTTTTTTGATGGAGTTAAATAGAGATTTGTGATCGCGGGCCACAAAGGCAGACTCCATCTCTTCAGCAACCCGCGACCACCACCCATCCTTGCAGCGCCTCACGGCTCTCCGAACCTCCGAGCGAAGGCTGCGGTAAGCCTCCTCATTCTCTGACGTGGGATTCTGTCATCGATGACAGTGGGCCTGTCGCTTTTTCTTAACCATCCTGAACACCTCCTCTGTCAGCCAGGGTCTCTGTGGTGGTCTGGACCGCGTACCCAAAGCAACCATTGCAGCTGCATGAGTCACAGTCCTAAACCTCGCCCATTTACCCTCGACATCAGGAGGAGTGGGGGACGATGCCAACCCCAGCCGCAAGCGATGATGAAATTCTCGCTTGGAACTTTCATCAGATAACTGAGACCAAGCCACTTTAGGTTGGAATGGGGTCCTGGGTGTACACCCACCACCGGAGTGGAATAATGGCAGGCGCATCTTACAGATGACTAGTCGATGGTCAGAGGGCAGATCAGCTCCATGGTAGGTCCTGGTATCAAGGACATGGGCTCGCATGCGCTGGTCCGTCACTATGTAGTCCAGCAGATGTTCTTGCATGGACCCGGCATGTATCCATGATGTTGTGTGGATGCGCCGATGCCGGAACAGCGTGTTGGTAATTACAAGCCCATGGGCTGCACAAAAATCTAGCAGCCTCCTACCGTTGTTATTGAGCTGATCTGGCCGATGCCCTCCAATCACTCCAGACCAGGTGCCAGCATCATGACCAACTCGGGCATTGAAATCACCCAACAAAATGACTCTATCCCGAGGGGCCACTTTAGCCAGCACCTGTGACAGGAGGTCATAGAAGGCATCTGACTCATCGGCTTTGCCTGCATCCCTCCACGGATGTTCGTCTGCGGTGGGGGCATAAGTAACCACGACCACCACTCCGCACCTCCGGTTGATGGGAAGGCGAGCCCAAAGTAGTCTGGGGCTTACAGCTTCCCACACCTCACCGCCACGCTCCCACACCCCCTTCATTATGTTGTTCAAAAGAAGAGCTACACCCTGTTGTTTGGCAGTCTGCTGTCCCGAGTAGAGGACTGTCCACGCCTCATGGTGGCAGGAGCCAGAACCGGTCCACCGGACCTCCTGAATGCCACAGAGATCCAGGCGGTACCGGTCCAGCTCCCGACAGAGGAGTGGCAGCCTCTCCTCCGCAGTGAGCGTTCGAACATTCTATGTGGCCACACGAAGTGGCTTTTGTTGTTTCTGGAGGAGCCCCGAGGGTAGTGATTCAATTTCCTGGCTCATCCAATTGGGGTTTGGCCAGGAGACGTCATAGACGCCTGTCCCCCCGGGGCCTCCGGCACAAGCTTATTAGTTATATATTTCAGTCGTGGTTTCTTGGTAATTTTTTGAAGGTGGAGGGGTTACCAGCCCCTCGCACCCGTCCAGAGCCCCCGTTTAGGCACTGTGGTGGTCACAGACGCCATGAGGGAAGAGGACCAATCGGAATTGGCCCTCTCCCCACAGCACTGTCCACGACAGTTGCCCGTCCGGCACTGCGAGGAGGTAGGGGGTTGTTTTGCAGGACATAGAGACACATACACAGATACTCGCAGATACCTATAGAGACACTCCACACAGAGACTCATAGACACACACAGATACCCATAGAGACACACACAGAGACACACAGAGACACAGATAGACACACATAGAGACACACAGAGACTCATAGACACACACAGACACTCATAGACACACACAGAGACTCAACACACAGAGACTCAGACACACAGAAACTCATAGACAACAAAGACAAAGATTTCCCATATAGCCTTAACAGACTGTAGGGGCAAGTGCTGTTAGCGAGCACTTATGAAGGCCGGAACGGTACACGAGGGGGTGGGTGGCCAGCACCACACCCGACCGCCTTTGTCTCCCTAGTGGCAATGTTTACATACCGCACCAGGTACTCATTTGAGGCTGAGTCGACCTAGGGGAGGCCCAGGACCGGTTCAGATAATCGTCACTGGTGTTGGCCGTGAGCGGGAATCGAACCCGGGTCGCCAGGTTCATAGTGCAGTGCGCTAACCGCTACACTATCGCTCCCCACTCATAGACACACACATAGACACACACATAGACACTCATAGCCACTCAGAGACTCACCACACAGAGACTCATAGACTCGCAAAGAGACCCACAGACTCATCGCACAGAGACTCATAGACTCACAAAGAGACCCACACACTCGTCGCACAGAGACTCATAGACTCACAAAGAGACCCACAGACTCATCACACAGAGACTCATAGACTCACAAAGAGACCCACAGACTCGTCGCACAGAGACTCATAGACTCACAAAGAGACCCACAGATTCGTCGCACAGAGACTCATTGACTCGCAAAGAGACCCACAGACTCGTCGCACAGAGACTCATAGACTCACAAAGAGACCCACAGACTCGTCACACAGAGACTCATAGACTCAAAAAGGGTCCCACAGACTCGTCGCACAGAGACTCATAGACTCACAAAGAGACCCACAGACTCATCACAAAGAGACTCATAGACTCACAAAGAGACCCACAGACTCGTCGCACAGAGACTCATCGACTTACAAAGAGACCCACCGACTTACAAAGAGACCCACAGAATCGTCGCACAGAGACTCATCGACTTACAAAGAGACCCACAAAATCGTCGCACAGAGACTCATAGACTCACAAAGAGTCCCACAGACTCATCGCAGAGACCCACAGTCTCACAAAGAGACCCACAGTCTCACAAAGAGACCCACAGACTCGTCGCACAGAGACTCACAAATAGACCCACAGCGCCGCACCTCCGATTACCACATTTGGCTACGTACGGTGGTCTGTCGTTTGCAGATGGACCCGGCTAGTGCGATGGATTACGAAGATGCTAGTGGCGCTGCTGGTGGTGGTGGTGGTGGCGGTGCTGGCGATGGTTGTGGTGGCGCTGCTGGTGGTGGTGGTGGCGGTGCTGGTGATGGTGGTGGTGAAGACATCCACCGTTGTCTCAAATGTCAAGTGACGATCCCCGGTCTCGACCGCTACATCCGGCATTGCCGGACGGAATGCGTCGCTCCTCCTGGGAGTGCTCCGGTGGCCCCGGTGAGTCGCGCCCCCCACCCCACCCCCCCCCACCCTCCCCACCCTCCCCACCCTCCCCACCCCCCCCACCCTCCCCACCCCCCCCACCCTCCCCACCCCCCCCACCCCCCCCACCCCCCCCACCCCCCCCCACCCTCCCCACCCCCCCCCACCCCCCACCCCCCCCACCCGCCCGGGCAGCGGTCGTGCGCCGAGCCGCGGTCGCAACAACGGCGGTCGCCGGCATCCCGCGCTTCCAGCAGCTTTTTACACTGCATGATACACTACACTGTACACTATACACACTACACTGTACACTACACTGTACACTATATACACTACACACTACACTGTACACTACACTATACACTACTACTATACACTACCACTATACACTACACTGCACACTACACTGTACACTATATACACTACACTGTACACTACACTGTACACTACACTATACACTACACTATACACTACACTATACACTACTATACACTACACTATACACTACACTATACACTACTATACACTACACTATACACTTTACACTACACTGTACACTACACTGTACACTACACTATACACTACACACTACACTATATACTATATACACTACACTGTACACTACACTATACACTACACTATACACTACACTACTATACACTACACTACTATACACTACACTACTATACACTACACTACTATACACTACACTACTATACACTACACTACTATACACTACACTACTATACACTACACTAAACACTTCACTATACACTACACTATACACTACACTATACACTACACTATACACTACACTATACGATACTATACACTATACACTACACTATACACTACACTATACGATACTATACACTATACACTACACTATACTATACACTACACTACTATACACTACACTATACACTACACTATACACTACACTATACACTGCACTATACACTACACTACTATACTCTACACACTACACTATTCACTATACTACTATATACTACACTATACACTATACTACTATACACTATACTACTATACACTACACTACTATACACTACACTACTATACACTACACTACTATATACTACACTATACACTACTATACACTACACTATACACTACACTATACGATACTATACACTATACACTACACTTTACACTATACTATACACTGCACTACTATACACTACACTATACACTACACTATACACTGCACTATACACTACACTACTATACACTACACACTACACTATTCACTATACTACTATATACTACACTATACACTATACTACTATACACTATACTACTATACACTACACTACTATACACTACACTACTATATACTACACTATACACTACTATACACTACACTATACACTACACTACTATACACTACAGTATACACTACACTACTATACACTACACTATACACTACACTACTATAAAGTACACTACTATACAGTACACTACTATACACTACACTATACACTACACTATACACTACACTACTATACACTACACTATACACTACACTAGTATACACTACACTACTATACACTACACTACTATACACTACACTATACACTACTACTATACACTAAACTACTATACACTACACCATTATACACTACACTATACACTACACTACTATACACTATACACTACACTACTATACACTACACTATACACTACACTACTATACACTACACTATACACTACACTACTATACACTACACTATACACTACACTAGTAGTGTAGTGTATAGTGTAGTGTATAGTAGTGTAGTGTATAGTATACACTACACTACTATACACTACACTATACACTACTATACACTACACTACTATACACTACACTACACTATACACTACACTACTATACACTACACTATACACTACACTATACACTACACTACTACACTACACTATACACTACACTATACACTACACTACTACACTACACTATACACTACACTATACACTACACTATACACTACACTATACACTACACTACTATACACTACACTATACACTACAAGTCAGCCCCCCCCAAGTCAACATCCTGGCTCAGAGAATGCTCCGGTCCATGGGGAGCTTTCTTTATTGGCGGTACTGTCACGATACTGCCAAGGATTCATCTTCTTTGGTTCGTAGAATGAGAATGAAATAATAAATTGATAAATTAAAATGACACAATAATATTCTCACGACGTTTCGGCCACAACACAAGCGGCCTTCATCAGGCGAAGGGACGAGACTGTCTGGAGGACAGCGCTGGAGCGAACAAAGCCACGCTCAGACCGCGACCTTTAAGCTGTGTGAGAGGAAACAAAGCGCCTTGACAAAGGAATTAGCATAGAATTTAGCATTGAAATGGCTGAGTGATTAGCTTGTGACTGGTCACAGAAATGGCTATGTTAAAGTCAAAGCATACACATCCACAGAGGCACCCCTTGACAAAGGAATTAGCATAGAATTTAGCATTGAAATGGCTGAGTGATTAGCTTGTGACTGGTCACAGAAATGGCTATGTTAAAGTCAAAGCATACACATCCACAGAGGCACCCCTTGACAAAGGAATTAGCATAGAATTTAGCATTGAAATGGCTGAGTGATTAGCTTGTGACTGGTCACAGAAATGGCTATGTTAAAGTCAAAGCATACACATCAACAGAGGCACCCCTTGACAAAGGAATTAGCATAGAATTTAGCATTGAAATGGCTGAGTGATTAGCTTGTGACTGGTCACAGAAATGGCTATGTTAAAGTCACAGCATACACATCAACAGAGGCACCCCTTGACAAAGGAATTAGCATAGAATTTAGCATTGAAATGGCTGAGTGATTAGCTTGTGACTGGTCACAGAAATGGCTATGTTAAAGTCAAAGCATACACATCCACAGAGGCACCCCTTGACAAAGGAATTAGCATAGAATTTAGCATTGAAATGGCTGAGTGATTAGCTTGTGACTGGTCACAGAAATGGCTATGTTAAAGTCAAAGCATACACATCCACAGAGGCACCCCTTGACAAAGGAATTAGCATAGAATTTAGCATTGAAATGGCTGAGTGATTAGCTTGTGACTGGTCACAGAAATGGCTATGTTAAAGTCAAAGCATACACATCCACAGAGGCACCCCTTGACAAAGGAATTAACATAAAATTTAGCATTGAAATGGCTGAGTGATTAGCTTGTGACTGGTCACAGAAATGGCTATGTTAAAGTCAAAGCATACACATCCACAGAGGCACCCCTTGACAAAGGAATTAACATAGAATTTAGCATTGAAATGGCTGAGTGATTAGCTTGTGACTGGTCACAGAAATGGCTATGTTAAAGTCAAAGCATACACATCCACAGAGGCACCCCTTGACAAAGGAATTAACATATAATTTAGCATTGAAATAGCTGAGTGATTAGCTTGTGACTGGTCACAGAAGTGGCTATGTTAAAGTTAAAGCATATACATCCACAGAGGCACCCCTTGACAAAGGGGTTAGCATAGAATTTAGCATTGAAATAGCTGAGTGATTAGCTTGTGACTGGTCACAGAAATGGCTATGTTAAAGTCAGAGCATACACATCCACAGAGGCACCCCTTGACAAAGGAATTAGCATAGAATTTAGCATTGAAATGGCTGAGTGATTAGCTTGTGACTGGTCACAGAAATGGCTATGTTAAAGTCAAAGCATACACATTCACAGAGGCACCCCTTGACAAAGGAATTAACATAGAATTTAGCATTGAAATAGCTGAGTGATTAGCTTGTGACTGGTCACAGAAATGGCTATGTTAATGTCAAAGCATACACATCCACAGAGGCACCCCTTGACAAAGGAATTAGCATAGAATTTAGCATTGAAATAGCTTCATTGTGTTATTTTATTTTATCAATTCATTATTTTATTCTCATTCTACTTGGTGGTGACTTTACCACAAGAGCCAAAGAAGATGAATCCTTGCAGTCACGAAAGCTTTAAATCGACATTTACTGTCAAGGTATTTTATTTTTAGTATTTTAGCAGGTAAGGCCCCACTGAGATATGTAGGCCTGACGTTGATTCTTAATGTGGAGGGAAAAGCCGGAGGATCCGGAGACAAAATCCACGCAGTGACCACGGAGAGAGAGAGACGCAGACTCCAAATATACTTCAGCAGCAGGCGAGGTAGTTAACATCCCCTAGCCACCGTTATGATGAGAGACGCAGACTCCACATCTACAGCAGCAGCAGCAGGCGTCATGGTCACGTGATCGAACCCACGACCTCCTGCGTACCAGGCGAGGTAGTTAACATCTCCCAGGCATAGAACCGACGACCTCCTGTACACCAGGCGAGGTAGTCAACATCTCCCAGGGATCGAACCCACGACCTCCGGTACACCAGGCGAGGTAGTCAACATCTCCCAGGGATCGAACCCACGACCTCCTGTAGACCAGGCGAGGTAGTCAACATCTCCCAGGGATCGAACCCACGACCTCCTGTACACCAGGCGAGGTAGTCAACATCACCCAGGGATAGAACCCACGACCTCCTGTAGACCAGGCGAGGTAGTCAACATCACCCAGGGATAGAACCCACGACCTCCTGTAGACCAGGCGAGGTAGTCAACATCTCCCAGGGATAGAACCCACGACCTCCTGTAGACCAGGCGAGGTAGTCAACATCTCCCAGGGATCGAACCCACAACCTCCTGTAGACCAGGCGAGGTAGTCAACATCTCCCAGGCATAGAACCCACGACCTCCTGTAGACCAGGCGAGGTGGTCAACATCTCCCAGGGATCGAACCCACGACATTCTGTAGACCAGGCGAGGTAGTCAACATCTCCCAGGGATAGAACCCACGACCTCCTGTACACCAGGCGAGGTAGTCAACATCTCCCAGGCATAGAACCCACGACCTCCTGTAGACCAGGCGAGGTAGTCAACATCTCCCATGCATAGAACCCACGACGTCCTGTAGACCAGGCGAGGTGGTCAACATCTCCCAGGGATCGAACCCACGACCTCCTGTAGACCAGGCGAGGTAGTCAACATCACCCAGGGATAGAACCCACGACCTCCTGTAGACCAGGCGAGGTAGTCAACATCACCCAGGGATAGAACCCACGACCTCCTGTAGACCAGGCGAGGTAGTCAACATCTCCCAGCGATAGAACCCACGACCTCCTATAAACCAGGCGAGGTAGTCAACATCTCCCAGGCATAGAACCCACGACCTGTAGACCAGGCGAGGTAGTCAACATCCCCTAGCCACCGTGGTGATGGTGATGGTCCCCACCCCCCCCCCCCCCACCGCCTCCGGTAGGCCACCTGCGCCGCTGCCTCCACCGGGCCCCCCCAACAACCGCAGCGGCCACCGGCGACAGATCCGGCGGCGGCGATTCCGACAGAAGCCGCCGGTGGCGGTGCCGGTGGTGGTGCCGGTGGTGGTGCCGGTGGTGGTGCCGGTGGCGGTGCCGGTGGTGGTGCCGGTGGTGGTGCCACCGCCGCCGCGAGCCAGCAGGCGGCGGGACCCTGGACTAGCGGGAGCGGAGTGACGGGCCGCACCATGGGCCATGGGGCCGTGGGCCGCCGGGAGGCGGGCGCAGCAGAGGCACGCGGTGCGGTGGTCTCAGTTGGGGCCGTCGAGGAGGAGGTGGAGGAGGAGGTGGTGGAGGAGGAGGAGAAGGTGGAGGTGGAGGAGGTGGTGGAGGAGGTGGAGGAGGAGAAGGTGGAGGAGGTGGTGGAGATGGAGGTGGTGGAGAAGGAGGAGGTGGAGGAGAAGGTGGAGGAGAAGGAGAAGGTGGAGGAGAAGGAGGAGGTGGAGGAGAAGGAGGAGGTGGAGGAGAAGGAGGAGGTGGAGAAGGAGGTGGAGAAGGAGGTGGAGGTGGAGAAGGAAGTGGAAGAGGTGGAGGTGGAGAATGAGGTGGAGAAGGAGGTGGAGGTGGAGAAGGAAGTGGCGGAGGTGGAGGTGGAGAATGAGGTGGAGGTGGAGGAGAAGGAGGAGAAGGAGGTGGAGGAGGTGGAGGAGGTGGTGGAGGAGGTGGAGGAGGAGAAGGAGGTGGAGGAGAAGGAGGAGATGGAGGAGAAGGAGGAGGAGGTGGAGGAGAAGGAGGTGGAGGAGAAGGAGGAGGTGGAGAAGGAGGTGGAGAAGGAGGTGGAGGTGGAGAAGGAAGTGGAGGAGGTGGAGGTGGAGAATGAGAAGGAGGTGGAGGTGGAGAAGGAGGTGGAGAAGGAGGTGGAGAAGGAGGTGGAGAAGGAGGAGGTGGAGGAGAAGGAGAAGGAGGTGGAGAAGGAGGTGGAGAAGGAGGTGGAGAAGGAGGTGGAGAAGGAGGTGGAGGAGAAGGTGGAGGAGAAGGAGGTGGAGGAGAAGGAGGTGGAGGAGAAGGAGGTGGAAGTGGACGAGAAGGAGGAGGAGGTGGAGGTGGACGAGAAGGAGGTGGAGGTGGACGAGAAGGAGGTGGACGAAAAGGAGGAGGAGGTGGAGGTGGACGAGAAGGAGGTGGAGAAGGAGGCCAAGCAGCAGAAGGAGCAGAGCGGTCCCAAGACTCGCGGCCGCAAGCGACGGTTTCCCGGTGCCGCTCCTCCCCCTCCCACCGCCGCCGCCGCCGCCGCCGCCGCCACGGCAAGCCGGACGTCGGTGCGCCTCCAGGACCGGCGCGAGAGGACCGGCGCGGCGGCCAGGGGCTCCTGCTTCTGCTGCGGCGGCGGCGGCGGCGAGCGTCACCGGCGGGGGGGAGGAGCGGCGGCCGACGGCCAGGACGGCGCCAAACGGCCGTGCCGGGGCACCGGGGAGCCGGCGGCGAGGCGGAGGGGGCGGCCGCCGCTCAGGCCGGCGGCTTCTGCCGGCGGCGGCGGTGGTGGCGGTGGTGGAGGTGGTGGAGGTGGTGGCGGTGGTGGCGGTGGCGGCGGTGGCGGTGGAGGCGGTGGAGGCGGTGGTGGAGGTGGTGGCGACGGAGGCCCAGTGAGGACGTTTGGAGGAGGTGGACGACGAGGAGGAGGTGGACGAGGTGGACGAGGAGGAGGTGGTGGTGGCGACGGAGGCTCAGGGAGGACGTTTGGAGGAGGAGGAGGTGGACGAGGTGGAAGAGGTGGCGGGAGAGGTGGCGACGGAGGCCCATTGCGGACGTTTAGAGGAGGTGGACGAGGTGGACGAGGAGGTAGAGGAGGTAGAGGAGGAGGAGGAGGCGGTGAGGGACTTTGTGGACGCGTGGACGCGGCGCCGATTTGGCCGTGTGGGACGGTGGCCGGCGAGGGATCGGAGTGCCGGGAACACACGGCGGACAACGCCGGTGGTGGCCGTGGCGGTGCTGCTGGTGGCGGTGTTGCTGGTGGCGGTGTTGCTGGTGGCGGTGTTGCTAGTGGCGGTGTTGTTGGTGGCGGTGTTGCTAGTGGCGGTGTTGTTGGTGGCGGTGTTGTTGGTGGCGGTGTTGCTAGTGGCGGTGTTGCTGGTAGCGGTGTTGCTAGTGACGGTGTTGCAAGTGGCGGTGTTGCTAGTGGCGGTGTTGCTAGTGGCTGTGTTGTTGGTGGCGGTGTTGCTAGTGGCGGTGTTGTTGGTGGCGGTGTTGCTGGTGGCGGTGTTGCTGGTGGCGGTGTTGTTGGTGGCGGTGTTGTTGGTGGCGGTGTTGCTAGTGGCGGTGTTGTTGGTGGCGGTGTTGTTGGTGGCGGTGTTGCTAGTGGCGGTGTTGCTGGTGGCGGTGTTGCTAGTGGCGGTGATGCTAGTGGCGGTGTTGCTGGTAGCGGTGTTGTTGGTGGCGGTGTTGCTAGTGGCGGTGTTGCTAGTGACGGTGTTGCTGGTAGCGGCGTTGTTGGTGGCGGTGTTGCTGGTAGCGGTGTTGTTGGTGGCGGTGTTGCTAGTGGCGGTGTTGCTGGTAGCGGTGTTGTTAGTGGTGATGTTGTTAGTGGCGGTGTTGCTAGTAGCGGTGTTGCTGGTGGCGGTATTGCGAGTGACGGTGTTGCTGGTAGCGGTGTTGCTTGTGGCGGTGTTGCTGGTGGCGGTGTTGCAAGTGGCAGTGTTGCTGGTGGCGGTGTTGCTCGTGACGGTGTTGCTAGTAGCGTTGTTGTTGGTGGCGGTGTTGCTAGTGGCGGTGTTGCTAGTGACGGTGTTGCTGGTAGCGGTGTTGTTAGTGGCGGTGTTGCTGGTGGCGGTGTTGCTGGTAGCGGTGTTGCTAGTGACGGTGTTGTTAGTGGCGGTGTTGCTGGTAGCGGTGTTGCTAGTGACGGTGTTGCAAGTGGCGGTCTTGCTGATGGCGGTGTTGCTTCTGGCGGTGTTGTTAGTGGCGGTGTTGCTGGTGGCGGTGTTGCTGGTAGCGGTGTTGTTAGTGGTGGTGTTGCTAGTGGCGGTGTTGTTAGTGGCGGTGTTGCTGGTAGCGGTGTTGCTGGTGGCGGTGTTGCTGGTGGCGGTGTTGCTGGTGGCGGTGTTGCTGGTGGCAGTGTTGTTAGTGGCGGTGTTGTTAATGGCGGTGTTGCTGGTAGCGGTGTTGCTAGTGGCGGCGTTGCTGGTGAAGGTGTTGCTTGTGACGGTGTTGCTGGTAGCGGTGTTGCTAGTGGCGGTGTTGCTGATGGCGGTGTTGCTACTGGCGGTGTTGTTAGTGGCGGTGTTGCTAGTGGCGGTGTTGCTGGTGGCGGTGTTGTTAGTGGCGGTGTTGTTAGTGGTGGTGTTGCTAATGGCGGTGTTGTTAGTGGCGGTGTTGCTGGTGGTGGTGTTGCTGGTGGCGGTGTTGCTAGTGGCGCTGTTGCTGGTGAAGGTGTTGCTGGTGGCGGTGTTGTTAGTGGCGGTGTTGCTGGTAGCGGTGTTGCAAGTGGCGGTGTTGCTGATGGCGGTGTTGTTAGTGGCGGTGTTGCTAGTGGCGGTGTTGCTGGTGGCGGTGTTGCTGGTAGCGGTGTTGTTAGTGGCGGTGTTGCTGGTAGCAGTGTTGCTAGTGGCGGTGTTGCTGGTGAAGGTGTTGCTAGTGGCGGTGTTGCTGGTGAAGGTGTTGTTAGTGGCGGTGTTGCTGGTGAAGGTGTTGCTAGTGGCGGTGTTGCTAGTGGCGGTGTTGCTGGTGGCGGTGTTAGTGGCAGTGTTGCTGGTAGCGGTGTTGCTAGTGGCAGTGTTGCTGGTGAAGGTGTTGCTACTGAAGGTGTTGCTAGTGGTGGCGTTGCTGGTGAAGGTGTTGCTAGTGGCGGTGTTGCAAGTGGCGGTGTTGCTGGTGAAGGTGTTGCTACTGAACGTGTTGCTAGTGGTGGCGTTGCTGGTGAAGGTGTTGCTAGTGGCGGTGTTGCTAGTAGCGGTGTTGCTGGTAGCGGTGTTGCTGGTGGCGGTGTTGCTGGTGGCGGCGTTGCTGGTGGCGGTGTTGCTGGTAGCGGTGTTGCTAGTTGCGGTGTTGCTAGTGGCGGTGTTGCTAGTGGCGGTGTTGCTAGTGGCGGTGTTGCTAGTGGCGGTGTTGCTAGCGCCGGTGTTGCTAGCGGCGGTGTTGCTGGTGAAGGTGTTGCTAGCGGCGACGGTGTTGCTAGCGGCGATGGTGTTGCCCGCGGTGGTTTCGGTGGTAGCAGCAAACGAACCACGTCCGCGGCCAAACCGGCAGAGATGCCGACCGCCTCGCAATCGGAAGACGCCGACGACGCCGACGAGGACGAGGAGGAGGAGGAGGAGGAAGATTTTGGCGACGATTCGGAGACCTGGCTGCCCGGCGGCGGCGGCGGCGGGGTCGGGGGTCGGAGGCCGAGGGTCGGAGGAGCCCGGCACGGGGGCAGCCGCGCCAAAAGGCCGCGGTGGCAGCAACCGCCGGGGAGCGGCGCCGGTGCCGGCACCGGTGCCGGTGCCGGCGGCGGCGGCTCTCGTAAACGAGGGCGCTGCGAGGAATCCGACGTGATGGGGGATCCCGTCGACGCCGCGTCGCGACCACAACAGCCGCGGCACGACGCCGGCGCCGGCGCCGGCACCGGCACCGTCACCGGCCGCGCCAAGAGGCAGCGCTGCTTGGATCCGGCGACCGCCGCCGTGGCGGCAACTCCCATCGCTACAACGCAGCCACCGCCACCGCCGGAACAACAACAACAACAGCAACCGCAACAACAACCGCAGCAACAACAACAACAACCGCCACCGCCGGCAAACGGCGCCGGCGAGGCGCCGAAGCGGCGCAAGGGGCGCCCGCGCCAGGAGCGGTCGCGCGAGTGCCCCGACTGCGGCTACGTGGCGGCCACGTGCACCAACCTGGCGGTGCACGTGCGGCGCCGGCACCGGCGCCAGTACAGCTACCTGTGCCGCGCGTGCCATTACTACACGGTGACCAAGGGCGACATGGACCGGCACTGCGCCACCTGGAAGCACAAGCGGCGGGCGGCGGAGGACCTCGCCGCCGGCTCCGCCGGCATCGTCGGCGCCACCGGCATCGGCGCCGTCGTCGGCGCCGACGCCGAGGGGGGCGGCCCGGTCGCCGGGCGCCGGCCGGCGGCGTCCGACCCGGCGGGGCTTCGGGCGCCGGCGACCGAGGCTCCGGCCGGGGCGGGAGGCCCGACGTTCCGCTGCCGGGCCTGCCCCAGGGCGGTGTCGACGGCGCAGGCGCTGGAGGCGCACGCCCGGCGCAAGCACCGCGGCGACTTCGAGTTTGAGTGCACGGCGTGCGGCTACCGGGCGCTGACGCGCGCCGAGATGGCGCGGCACGCCGCCACGGCGAAGCACCGCACGCGCAGCCGCGCCCTGCTGCTGCTGCTGCGCGAGCGGCAGGAGGAGGAGGCGGAGGAGGAGCGGCGGAAGCAGGCGGCGGCGGCGGCAGGAGGTTGTGGCGGCGGTGCGGAGGAGGCGGTGGAGGCGGTGGAGGCGGTGGAGGCGGTGGAGGCGGTGGAGGCGGTGGAGGCGGTGGAGGCGGTGGAGGCGGTGGAGGCGGTGGAGGCGGTGGAGGCGGTGGGTGGAGCGGTGGTCCCGATTGGCACGGCGGACGGGGAGGCTTTGCCCGGCGGCGGCGCCGTGGAGGAGACGGAGCTCCGGCTGCCGGCCGCAGCGTCGTCGTCAGCTCCTCGTCCGCCCCCCGCCGATGCCGCCGCCGCTCCTGCCGCCGATGCCGGCGCTGCTGATTCTGCCGCCGCCGCCGCCGGCAGCGAGACGTCGATCGCCGAGGAGGCGGGAGGCTGCGCCGACGTCCTGGCGAGCCTCTGCCGGGCGCTGAGCGTGGGGGCGGCCGCACGGCCCGGGGGGACGACCGCGGTCGACGGCGAGGCGGAGGCGGAGGAGGCGGTGGAGGAGGCGGCGGAGGAGGAGGAGGAGGAGACCGTGATCGTCGCCAGAGTTCACGAGGTCGGGGGAGACCTCCTCCAGGCGCTGTGCGACACCATGGTGGGTCGGCCGGCGCCGGGAGACGAGGAGGAGGTGGTGGAGGAGGTGGAGGAGGAGGAGGGGGAGGAGGTGGTGGTGGTGATGGTGGAGGAGGAGGAGGAGGTCGAGCGGCAGCAGGAGCAGCAGGGCGAGGTGGTGGTGGTGGTGACGGCGACGCTTGCCGAGGATGACGGAGGAGGTGGTGGTGGTGGTGGTGCTGGAGGTGGTGATGGTGGTGATGGTGGTGGAGGTGGTGGTGGTGGTGCTGGAGGTGGTGCTGGAGGTGGTGGAGGTGGGGAGGCAGTGGGCGAGGTGGTGGGAGTGGAGGAGACCGCCGTGATGATGGAGGCGGCGATGTGCGGAACGGTGGTCTTGGAGTGGAACCCGCCTGGCGAAGGTGGCGGTGATGGTGACGGTGGCGATGGCGGCAATGGCGATGGCGATGGCGGCGATGGCGGCGGTGATCGTGGGCAGGCACGAGAGGCCACGATCGAGAGTGGTGGTGGTGAACACGGTGAGTGGTGGTGGTGAACACGGTGAGTGGTGGTGGTGAACATGGTGAGTGGTGGTGGTGAATCACGGTGAGTGGTGGTGGTGTTGAATACCGTGAGTGGTGAGTGGTGGTGGTGAACACGGCGAGTGGTGAGTGGTGGTGGTGGTGAATCACGGTGAGTGATGGCGGTGAATTCTGTGAGTGGTGGTGGTGAATCACGGTGAGTGATGGTGGTGAATACTGTGAGTGGTGGTGGTGGTGAACACGGTGAGTGGTGGTGGTGGTGGTAACGGTGGTGGTGTGGTGGTCGTGGTGGTGGTGGTTGAAAGAGAGACACAGACTCCACATCAGCAGCAGCAGCAGGCGTCGTCAAGGTCGGGATTGAACCCACGACCTCCTGTAGACCAGGCGAGGTGGTCAACATCTCATAGCCACTGTGATGATGATGATGAGAGAGAGACGCAGACTCCACATAGACCTCCTGTAGACCAGGCGAGGTAGTCAACATCTCATAGCCACCGTGATGATGATGATGATGAGAGAGAGAGACACAGACTTCAAATCTACAGCAGTAGGCGTCGTCAGGGTCACGTGATCGAACCCACGACCTCCCGCGTACCGGGCGAGGTAGTCAACATCTCCTGGCCACTGCGATGATGATGATGAGTGAAAGAGAGACGCAGACTCCAAATATACAGCAGCAGCAGCAGCAGGCGTCGTCAGGGTCACGGGGTCGAACCCACGACCTCCTGTAGACCAAGCGAGGTGGTCAACATCTCATAGCCAGCGTGATGATGATGATGAGTGAAAGAGAGACGCAGGCTCCGCATCTACAGCAGCAGCAGGCGTCGTCAGGGTCGGGATCGAACCCACGACCTCCTGTATACCGGGCGAGGTGGTCAACATCTCCTAGCCAGCGTGATGATGATGATGAGAGAGAGAGACACAGACTCCACATAGACCTCCTGTAGACCAGGCGAGGTGGTCAACATCTCATAGCCACCGTGATGATGATGATGAGAGACGCAGACTCCACATAGACCTCCTGTAGACCAGGCGAGGTAGTCAACATCTCCTAGCCAGCGTGATGATGATGATGATGAGAGAGAGACACAGACTTCAAATCTACAGCAGTAGGGGTCGTCAGGGTCACGGGGTCGAACCCACGACCTCCCGCGTACCGGGCGAGGTAGTCAACATCTCCTGGCCACTGCGATGATGATGAGTGAGAGAGAGACGCAGACTCCACATATACAGGAGGGGTCGGGATGGAACCCACGACCTCCCGCGTACCGGGCGAGGTGGTCAACATCTCCTAGCCAGCGAGGCGCCCCCGGTTGGCAGCAGCAGTCGAAGAGCAACAGGGAAGCAGCCGTCCAGCGCCCGTGAGCCTCACTGCGACCTCCTTGTCGCCCCCAGTCCTCTACACCGCCACGCTCGCCGTCACCGCGGCGACCGCCGTCACCGCGGCGACCGCCGTCACCGCGGCGACCGCCGGCGCTCCGGACCAACCGGCGGAGGCGGAGTTCGAGGCGCTGATCTCCGCGGCACGGACGGCCCACGGCGGAGGAGGAGGAGGAGGGGCGTCTGCGGGGGGGGCCCACGGCGGAGGGGCCCACGGCGGAGGGGCCCACGGCGGAGGGGCCCACGGCGGAGCGGGAGGGTCGGCGGAGCCGGAGTTTGACGCGACGATCGTGCGAGTGAGGAGGCCCAGGGGCAGCGCGGAGGCCGCTGGGCAGCCGGCCCTTGCTGCTCCCTCGGTGGCAGTCGGAATGGTGCGGAGAGAGGGGGGGGCGGTGGGGAGGGGGGCGGTGGGTGGGGGGGGGGCAGTGGGCGGGGGCGATGGGGGGGCAGTGGGTGGGGGGGGCAGTGGATGGGGGGGGCAGTGGGTGGGGGGGGCAGTGGGTGGAGGGGGCGGTGGGGAGGGGGCAGTGGGTGGGGGGGGGGGCAGTGGGTGGGGGGGGCAGTGGGTGGGGGGGGGCAGTGGGTGGGGGGGGGGGACAGTGGGTGGGGGCAATGGGGGAGGCAGTGGAGGGAGGGGGCAGTGGGGGGGAGGGGGCAGTGGGTGGGGGGAGGGGGTGGGTAAAACTTTTACCAGTGAATGTTTATCGTTTTCGTTGTCGGTGATGGTGGTGGTGGTGGTTGTTGTTGTTGTTGTTGTAGTTGTTTGTTTGTTTGCCAGACGGGCGATGCGGATCGCGACGCCAGCGTGGTGAGGCTGAGCCACTCCACGCCGGTGCCGGGCGCCGGCTTCCTGCCGGAACTCGTACTGGTGAGCGGGGTGCGGTGGTGGAGGTGGTGGTGGAGGTGGCGGTGGTGGTGGTGGTGGTGGTGGAGGTGGTGGTGGTGGTGGAGGTGGTGGTGGTGGTGGTGTTGGTGGTGGAGGTGGTGGCGGTGGCGGTGATGGTGGTGGTGGTGGTGGCGGTGGTGGTGATGGTGGAGGAGGTGGTGGCGGTGGTGGTGGCGATGGTGGAGGTGGTGGTGGTGGTGGTGGCGGTGGTGGTGGTGGTGGCGGTGGTGGTGGAGGTGGTGGTGGGGGTGGTGGTGGAGGTTGTGGTGATCGTGGTGGTGATCGTGGTGGTGGTGGAGGTGGAGGTGGTGGTGGAGGTGGTGGTGGCGGTGGTGGTGATGGTGGCGGTGGTGGTGGGCTAAGTGGCAGCTTTGAGCGATCGCTGCTGGTGTGAAGAGATTGGATCATTAGTCTGTGATGTGTTATGTGATGTGTCATGTGATGTGTCATGTGGTGTGTGTGTGTGGTGTGTGTGTGTGTGTGTGATGTTCCGTGTGATGTGTGGTGTGTGTGTGATGTGTGTGTGTGATGTGTGGTGTGTGTGTGGTTGGTGTGTGGTGTGTGTGTGTATGGTGTGTGTGGTGTGTATGTAGTGTATGTGGTGTGTGTGTGTGTGGTGTGTGTGTGGTGTGTGTATGTAGTGTGGTGTGTGTGTGGTGTGTGTATGTAGTGTGGTGTGGTGTGTGGTGTGTGTGTGGTGTGTGCGTGGTGTGTGGTGTGGTGTGTGTGTGGTGTGTGGTGTGGTGTGTGTGGTGTGTGTGGTGTGTGTGTGGTGTGGTGTGTGTGGTGTGTGTGGTGTGTGTGTGGTGTGTGTGTGGTGTGTGTTGTGGTGTGTGGTGTGTGTGGTGTGTGTTGTGGTGTGTGTGTGTGTGTGGTGTGTGTGTAGTGTGTGTGTGTGTGTGGTGTGTGTGTATGTTGTGGTGTGTTGTGTGTGTGTGTGGTGTGTGTGTTGTGTGGTGTGTGGTGTGTGTGTGGTGTGTGGTGTGTGTGGTGTGTGTGTGGTGTGGTGTGTGTGGTGTGTGTGTTGTGTGTGGTGTGTGGTGTGTGTTGTGGTGTGTAGTGTGTGTGGTGTGTGTGTTTGGTCTCTTTAGTTCTCACCCAGGTTCAAACAGCACTCCCCTCCCTCTCCTCCCTCTCCTCTCCCTCCTCCATCCCTCTCCTCCGCTCCCTCCAGGCCACAAACTACTCGCACGCCGCGGCGGCGGCGGTGCCGGCACCGGACGGAGCGACCCACGGTGACCGCCAGCGCGACGACGACGACAACGAGGTGACGGTGGCTGTGGGCGACGAGGCGGAGGAGGGGCAGCAGCAGCAGCAGCAGCGGAAGGAGGAGGAGGAGCAGCAGGAGGCGGCGGAGGAGCTAGAGGCGGAGGAGCTAGAGGAGGAGGAGCGCTTCCCGGCAGCGTTGGCCACGGACTCGGCGGCCCTGCAGCCGCACAGCGATGGCGGAGAGCACCGCCAGGCGCAGCGAGCAATGGCGGGGAGCGGCACGCAGGAGGTGGGGGGGGTGGGTGGGGGGGGGTGGGGTGGGTGGGGGGGGTGGGGGGGGTGGGGTGAGTGGGGTGGGTGGGGTGAGTGGGGTGGGTGGGTGGGTTGGGTGAGTGGGGTGAGTGGGGTGAGGTGGGTGGGGTGGGGTGAGTGGGGTGGGGTGAGTGGGGTGGGTGAGTGGGGTGGGTGAGTGGGGTGGGTGAGTGGGGTGAGTGGGGTGAGTGGGGTGGGGTGGGGTCGGTGGGGTGAGTGGGTTGGGTGAGTGGGGTGGGGTGAGATTGGCAGGGTGTACAAGAGAGCTTTATCACTCATCGGGTTCACTCCTCCCCCTTCCTCCCCCCGCCAGGCCCCAGCCCCTCCCCCCGGCTCCAAGTGCTTCTGCTGCTGCGGCCCGGCTTGCCCCCCCGGCCTTCCTGAGCTGCTGTCCCACGTCCGCGGCCGCCACCGGCGGTGCCAGCAGCAGCAGCAGCAGCAGCAGCGGCGGCAGCAGCGGCAGCGGCAGCGGCAGGAGCGGCCCCCGGGCCACGACCTGGCGGCCTTCATCCGAGAGGACGCCGAGGTCATCGCGGCCGAGCGGTTGCAGGTCGCCGGCGGAGGAGGCGGCGGAGGAGGCGGCGGAGGAGGCGGCGGAGGCGGCGGAGGCGGCGGAGGAGGCGGCGGAGGCGGCGGAGGCGGCGGAGGCGGCGGAGGCGGCGGAGGCGGCGGAGGCGGCGGAGGAGGAGGAGGGCCGGCGTCGTGCGGCCACTGCGGCAGGGAGTTCCGTGGCGGGAGGGTGCCGGCCTTCATCGCTCACCTGCGCACGCACACCGGTGGGTGGGGGGGGTGGGTGGGGGGGTGGGTGGGGTGGGGTGAGCGGGAATCGAACCCGGGTCGCCGGGTTGGTAGCGCTAGCCGCTACACACACAGAGACACACACAGACACACACACAGACACACACACAGACACACACACAGACACACACACAGACACACACACAGACACACAGATACACACACAGATACACATACAGAGAGACACACAGAGACACACAGAGACACACAGAGACACACAGAGACACACAGAGACACACAGACACACACAGAGAGACACACAGAGAGACACACAGAGAGACACACACAGAGACACACACAGAGACACACACAGAGACACACACACAGACACACACACATACACACACATACACACACACATACACACACACATACACACACACAGAGACACATACACACACAGAGACACATACACACACAGAGACACACACGCAGAGACACGACACACACGCAGAGACACACAGAGACACACACACATACACACATACACACACACATACACACACACATACACACACACAGACACACACACAGACACACACACACACACATAGAGATACACACACAGACACACACACACAGACACACACACAGACACACACACACAGAGACACACACAGAGACACACACAGAGACACACACAGAGACACACACAGAGACACACACAGAGACACACACAGAGACACACACAGAGACACACACAGAGACACACACACAGACACACACACATACACACACATACACATACACACATACACACACATACACACACACAGAGACACATACACACACACAGAGACACATACACACACAGAGATACATACACACAGAGACACATACACACACAGAGACACACACGCAGAGACACGACACACACGCAGAGACACACAGAGACACACACACACATACACACATACACACACACAGACACACACACAGACACACACACACAGACACACACACACATAGAGATACACACAGAGATACACACACACAGATACACACATACACACACACAGAGACACACACAGAGACACAAACACAGACACACACACAGAGACACAAACACAGACACACACACAGAGACACACACAGAGACACACACAGAGACACACTTGGCCCTAACGGTGCGTGAGAGGCTAGCGGGGCACCTCCTCCCCCGTGTCTCTGTGTCCGCCGGTTCAGGCTCCAAGCCGTTCCAGTGCAAGATCTGCGGCTTTGCCAGCGCCCAGATGGGCGACGCCCGCAACCACATCAAGCGTCACCTGGGCCTCAAGGAGCACAGCTGTAACCTGTGTGGGTGAGTGGGGGGGTGGTGGTGGTGGTGGGTGGGTTGGTGGGTGGTGGTGAGTGGGTGGGTGGTGGTGGTGAGTGGGTGGTGGTGAGTGGGTGGGTGGTGGTGAGTGGGTGGTGGTGGTGAGTGGGTGGGTCGTAGTGAGTGGGTGGTGGTGGTGAGTGGGTGGGTGGTGGTGAGTGATTGGGTGGGTGGTGGTGAGTGGGTGGGTGGTTGGTGGTGAGTGGGTGGTTGTGGTGAGTGGGTGGTGGTGGTGAGTGGGTGGGTGGTGGTGAGTGGGTGGGTGGTGGTGGTGAGTGGGTGGTGAGTGGGTGGGTGGTGGTGAGTGGGTGGTGGTGGTGGTGAGTGGGTGGGTCGTAGTGAGTGGGTGGTGGTGGTGAGTGGGTGGTGGTGGTGGTGAGTGGGTGGGTCGTAGTGAGTGGGTGGTGGTGGTGAGTGGGTGGGTGGTGGTGGTGAGTGGGTGGGTCGTAGTGAGTGGGTGGTGGTTAGTGGGTGGGTGGGTGTGTGTGTGCCTGTCAGAGGAGGAGTTGGAGACGCTGCTTCTGAGACTAGACCCTGCTCCAGTTTAACAGCAGAGGTCTCCGAATCAGTCGAGCGGCAATATCTTTTCATCGGTTGCGTAACGCTGTGTGGAAGCTACCTGGTCTGTCGCTCCGCACGAAGCTTCAGGTCTTCTCGGCCACGGTCATTCCCTCCCTTATCTACGCTTGCGAAACATAGACCCCCCTAATAGAACATCTTCGCCGGTTAGAAACATTCAGGCTGGCCTGCCTGCGATCAATCCTGGATTTAACCAGGCTGGATTGTGTGAAGAGCTCACAAAGTCCCATCGGTGAGCTCCTCTGGCAGGCAAGGCTGCGTTGGCTGGGTCATGTAGCCCGCATGCCCAGCCACCGCATCCCCAAACAGCTTTTGTTCGGCCGGATTGAGGGGGCGAAACGGGCGTGGCATGGGCTAGAGAAGAGATGGAGTGATGTGGTACAGGAGGACGTGGAACCTGAGTGGACTTGCCGATGACTGGTACCAGCGGTGTCAAGATCGGCCTCTGTAGAGGAGGCTCGTGAAGGACGCTACTGGGCAGTTGGAGGCAGTCACCCTCCAACAACAACGGAGGGCGGAGGAGCGACGCTCAGAACAACGAGTGGAGCGCCGGGTGGCTAAAGCACAGCAGGTTGGCACAGTAGGGGGCACAGGTGGTGCATCAGCCAGTCATCTCGGTCATCTCAGTCAGTTGACCCGTGGCACTTGGGTCTGCCCCGTGACCTCCTGCCCCCGGGCGTTCGACACTTCACGTGGCCTCAAGGTGCACATGGCCTGGCACAAGCGTCGTGGTGACATCACCGCCACTAAGTAGCGAATGGCAGTTGTTGTTGTGTGTGAGTGTCTACGAGTGTCTGTGTGTGTCTGTGAGTGTCTACGAGTGTCTGTGTGTGTCTGTGAGTGTGAGTGTCTGTGTGTGAGTGTGTGTGTGTTTGTGTGTGTGAGTGTCTGTGTGTGTCTGTGAGTGTCTGTGAGTGTGTGTGAGTGTCTGTGTGTGTCTGTGAGTGTGTGTAAGTGTCTGTGTGTGTCTGTCTGCCACTACGGGTGGCCACGTGGAATGTTCGAACGCTCACTGCGGAGGAGAGGCTGCCACTCCTCTGTCGGGAGCTGGACCGGTACCGCCTGGATCTATGCGGCATTCAGGAGGTCCGGTGGACCGGCTCTGGCTCCTGCCACCATGAGGGGTGGACAGTCCTCTACTCGGGGCAGCAGACTGCCAAACAACAGGGTGTGGCTCTTCTTTTGAACAAAAGAATGAAGGGGGCTTGGGAGCGTGGCGGTGAGGTGTGGGAAGCTGTAAGCCCCAGGCTACTTTGGGCTCGCCTTCCCATCAACCGGAGGCGAGGAATGGTGGTCGTGGTTACTTATGCCCCCACCGAAGATGAACATCCGTGGAGGGATGCAGGCAAAGCCGATGAGTCAGATGCCTTCTATGACCTCCTGTCACAGGTGCTGGCTAAAGTGGCCCCTCGGGATAGAGTCATCATGTTGGGTGACTTCAATGCCCGAGTTGGTCATGATACTGGCACCTGGTCTGGAGTGATTGGAGGGCATGGGCCAGATCAGCTCAATAACAACGGTAGGAGGCTGCTAGATTTTTGTGCAGCCCATGGGCTTGTAATTACCAACACGCTGTTCCGGCATCGGCGCATCCACACAACATCATGGATGCATGCCGGGTCCAAGCAAGAACATCTGCTGGACTACATAGTGACGGACCAGCGAATGCGAGCCCATGTCCTTGACACCAGGACCTACCGTGGAGCAGATTTGCCCTCTGACCATCGACTAGTCATCTGTAAGATGCGCCTGCCATTCTTCCACTCCGGTGGTGGGTGTACACTCAGGACCCCATTCCGACCTAATGTGGCCTGGTCTCAGTTATCTGATGAAAGTTGCAAGCGAGAATTTCATCATCGCTTGCGGCTGGGATTGGCATCGTCCCCGACTCCTCCTGATGTCGAGGATAAATGGGCGAGGTTTAGGACTGTGACTCATGCAGCTGCAATGGCTGCTTTAGGTACGCGGTCCAGACCTCCCCAGAGACCCTGGCTGACAGAGGAGGTGTTCAGGATGGTTGAGAAAAAGCGACAGGCCCACTGTCATCGGCGACAGAATCCCACGTCAGAGAATGAGGAGGCTTACCGCAGCCTTCGCTCGGAGGTTCGGAGAGCCGTGAGGCGCTGCAAGGATGGGTGGTGGTCGCGGGTTGCTGAGGAGATGGAGTCTGCCTCAGTGGCCCGTGATCACAAATCTCTATTTAACTCCATCAAAAAAGTAACCTGCAGCGCCACACCTATTACCATCATTAGGGGAAAAAACGGTGATCCAATCTCCGACCCCCAGGAACAGGTTTGCAGATTTGCTGAGCATTTCTGTGAGGTCCTGGGGGAGGGAAAATCCCTCAGCCAGGAAAACATCGTGGCACAAAGTGAGGATGACCCTGCTGAGGCTGCGGTGCCTCAAATATTGGATGAAGGCACCCCCTGTGAGTGGCTGGCTGAGGTGCCATCTGCTGAGGAAGTATTGAAGGCGATCCGGAGTCTGAGACCAGAAAAGGCAGCGGGCAGAGATGATCTCCCAAGCAAAATGCTGAGGGAGGGTGGCGTTTGTGCACAGACTGCCCTATATGACATCATAACAGCAGTCTGGACCACTGGACGGGTTCCGCAGGATTGGAAGGATGCCCTGGTGGTCCCCCTTTTTAAGAAGGGGGACCGCACAGACTGTAACAACTACAGGGGCATCTCACTCCTCAGTGTGCCGGGAAAGGTCCTGGCAAGGATTATTCAGCATCGCCTTGCCAGGCACGCTGAGGAGAGGCTTGCGGAGCCCCAATGCAGTTTCAGGAAAGGGCGGTCCTGCACAGATGCCATATTTTCTGTCCGTCTGCTACAGCAGAGGTGTAGGGAATTCCAACAAGACCTACATCTCTGCTTTATTGACCTGGTCAAGGCCTATGATACCATCAGTAGGCCTGGGCTCTGGGTCGTTCTTCGTGCTTTTGGAGTACCTGACCCTCTGCTCAGAATCATTAAGGACCTTCATGATGGTGAGCGGGCCTGGATAAAACTACGTGGCCGGGAGTCAGAGCCATTCCCTGTACACCTTGGGGTGCAACAGGGATGTCCTCTGGCTCCCACATTATTTAACATCTATTTTGACCACGTAGTTCGTGAAGCCTTCAATAGCTGTACCGGGGGAATCTCCATATGGTACAGATATAATGGGAGGCTGATCGATGCCCGGGTGCGGTCAAGGGATGGCTCCCTATTGCTCAACCATGTTACGTATGCCGATGATTTGGTAATAGCTGCTCATTCAGAGGAGGAGTTGGAGACGATGCTGCTGAGACTGGAGCGTGCAACTAAGAGATGGGGCCTTACCATCAGCCCCACCAAAACTAAGCACCTGCCTGGGTATTTTATACCATCGGACACTCCACCCCCACAACTCCCAATCGGTGATGGGGCAGTTGTGGAGAGAGTGGAGAGTTTCCCATACCTGGGCAGTGTGCTTATGACTGGCTCCAGTTTAACAGCAGAGGTCTCACTGCGAATCAGTCGAGCGGCAATATCTTTTCATCGGTTGCGTAACACTGTGTGGAAGCTACCTGGTCTGTCGCTCCGCACTAAGCTTCAGGTCTTCTCGGCCACGGTCATTCCCTCACTTCTCTACGCTTGCGAAACGTGGACCCCCCTAATGGAACATCTTCGTCGGTTAGAAACATTTGGGCTGGCCGGCCTACGATCCATCCTGGGTTTAACCAGACTGGATTGTGTGAGGAGCTCACAAATCCTTGAAAGATCTGGGCAAGGTCCCATCGGTGAGCTCCTCCGGCGGGCAAGGCTGCGATGGCTGGGTCATGTAGCCCGCATGCCCAGCCACCGCATGCCGAAACAGCTTTTGTTCGGCTGGATTGAGGGGACTAAGCGGGCGCGGCACGGGCTAGAGAAGAGATGGAGTGATGTGGTACAGGAGGACGTGGAGCTGAGTGGACTTGCCGATGACTGGTACCAGCGGTGTCAAGATCGGCCTCTGTGGAGGAGGCTCGTGAAGGATGCTACTGGGCAGTTGGAGGCAGTCGCCCTCCAACAACAACGGAGGGCGGAGGAGCGACGCTCAGAACAACGAGCGGAGCGCCGGGTGGCTAAAGCACAGCAGGTTGGCACAGTAGGGGGCACAGGTGGTGCATCAGCCAGTCATCTCAGTCAGTCGACCCGTGGCACCTGGGTCTGCCCCGTGACCTCCTGCCAGCGGGCGTTCGACATTTCACGTGGCCTCAGGGTGCACATAGCCTGGCACAAGCGTCGTGGTGACATCACCGCCACTTAGTGGCGAATGGCGGTTGTTGTTGTTGTGAGTGTTTGTGAGTGTGTGTGAGTGTTTGTGAGTGTGTGCGAGTGTTTGTGAGTGTGTGTGTGATTGTCTATGAGTGTCTGTGAGTGTGTGTGAGTGTCTGTGTGTGTGTGAGTGTCTGTGTGTGTCTGTGTGTGAGTGTCTGTGTGTGTGTGCATAGGCGCTTCAGCTGCGCGCTGTCCACAGCACTTGCCCCTACGGTCTGTTCCAGGCTCTATACGTGAGGGGGTGGTGGTGGTGGTGTGTGGGGGTGCCTTCTCTCGTGCAGGTGGAGCTTCGTGATGAAGAAGCATCTGAACGCCCACATGGCCGGCAAGCACGGAGTGGGCGTGCGCAAGGAGAGGTGACGATGGCAGACGGGTCGGCAGCGTCATCATCGTCATCGTCATCATCATCGTCATCAGCAGCTACGTCGTCATCAGCATCGTCGTCATCAGCAGCATCATCAATCAGCTTCATCATCACCAGCAGCATTGGCAGCATCGTCATCAGCATCATGAGCAGCAGCATCATCATCGTCAGCAGCAGCATCATCATCACCAGCAGCAGCATCATCATCAGCATTGTCGTCATCATCGTCGCCATCGGCGGCATCATCATCATCAGCATCGTCGTCATCAACAGCATCAATCAACAGCATCATCATCACCAGCAGCATCGGCAGCATCGTTATCAGCATCATCATCAGCATCATCATCACCAGCATCATCATCAGCATCGTCATCAGCAGCAACGGCATCAGCAGCAGCAGCAGCATCGTCATCATCAACATCGTCATCAGTAGCATCATCAATCAGCTTCATCATCAGCAGCATCGGCGTCATCGTCATCAGCATCATCATCAGCAGCAGCATCATCAGCAGTATCATCACCAGCAGCATCATCATCAGCATCGTCATCAGCAGCATTATTAGCAGCATCATCATCATCACCAGCATCATCATCAGCATCGTCATCAGCAGCAACGGCATCAGCAGCAGCAGCATCGTCATCATCATCATCATCAGCAGCATCGGCATCATCGTCATCAGCAGCATCATCATCAGCATCATCAGCAGCATCATCAGCAGCATCATCAGCAGCATCATCAACATCAGCATCGTCATCAGCAGTAATGGCATCAGCAGCAGCAGCATCGTCATCATCAACATCGTCATCAGCAGCATCATCAATCAGCTTCATCATCATCAGCAGCAGCAGCATCATCACCAGTAGCATCAGCAGCTTCATCAGCAGCATCGTCACCATGAGCACCACGGTGGCTATGAGATGTTAGCGACCTTGCCTGGTATACAGGAGGTTGTGGGTTCGATCCCAACCCCTGGCTGTGCCTACTGCTGTGTATTTGGAGCGGGTGTCTGCTGAACTTCTTTCACTGTGCTAATCGGAGGTGCGGGGTGAGTCTGTGGGTCTCTGCGTGAGTAGTCTGTGGGTCTCTGTGTGAGTAGTCTGTGGGTCTCTGTGTGAGTAGTCTCTAGGTCTCTACTGTGTGAGTAGTCTGTGGGTCTCTACTGTGTGAGTAGTCTGTGGGTCTCTACTGTGTGAGTAGTCTGTGGGTCTCTACTGTGTGAGTAGTCTGTGGGTCTCTACTGTGTGAGTAGTCTGTGGGTCTCTACTGTGTGAGTAGTCTGTGGGTCTCTGTGTGAGTAGTCTGTGGGTCTCTACTGTGTGAGTAGTCTGTGGGTCTCTACTGTGTGAGTAGTCTGTGGGTCTCTACTGTGTGAGTAGTCTGTGGGTCTCTACTGTGTGAGTAGTCTGGGGGTCTCTACTGTGTGAGTAGTCTGTGGGTCTCTACTGTGTGAGTAGTCTATGGGTCTCTGTGTGTGAGTCTGTGGGTCTCTGTGTGTGAGTCTGTGGGTCTCTGTGTGAGTCAGTGGACCTCTGTGTGTGAGTAGTCTGTGGGTCTCTACTGTGTGAGTAGTCTATGGGTCTCTACTGTGTGAGTATAGTCTGTGGGTCTCTACTGTGTGAGTAGTCTGTGGGTCTCTACTGTGTGAGTAGTCTGTGGGTCTCTACTGTGTGAGTAGTCTGTGGGTCTCTACTGTGTGAGTAGTCTGTGGGTCTCTACTGTGTGAGTAGTCTGTGGGTCTCTACTGTGTGAGTAGTCTGTGGGTCTCTACTGTGTGAGTAGTCTGTGGGTCTCTACTGTGTGAGTAGTCTGTGGGTCTCTACTGCGTGGGATGACGACGCTGATGCCCCTTCGCAGGAAGTTTCACTGCCACATCTGCAACCGGCGCTTTGTGGAGAAGTGGGTCCTCAGCAACCACCTGAAGCTCCACTTGGGGTTCAAGCCCTTCACCTGCACGTGGCCTGGCTGCCACTACGCCTACCCCACACAGTCCGCCATGCGGGACCACTACCGTACCCACACAGGTACCCGCACTGTGACCCACACTGTGACCTACACAGGTACCGGTACTGTGACCTACACAGGTACCCGCACTGTGACCTACACAGGTACCCGCACTGTGATCTACACAGGTACCCGCATTGTGACCTACACAGGTACCCGCACTGTGACCTACACAGGTACCCACACTGTGACCTACACAGGTACCCACACTGTGACCCGCACTGTGACCTACACAGGTACCCGCACTGTGACCTACACAGGTACCCACACTGTGACCTACACAGGTACCCACACAGGTACCCGCATTGTGACCTACACAGGTACCCGCACTGTGACCTACACAGGTACCCGCACTGTGACCTACACAGGTACCCGCACTGTGACCCGCACTGTGACCTACACAGGTACCCGCACTGTGACCTACACAGGTACCCGCATTGTGACCTACACAGGTACCCGCATTGTGACCTACACAGGTACCCGCACTGTGACCTACACAGGTACCCGCACTGTGACCTACACAGGTACCCGCACTGTGACCTACACAGGTACCCGCACTGTGACCTACACAGGTACCCGCACTGTGACCTACACAGGTACCCGCACTGTGACCTACACAGGTACCCACACTGTGACCTACACTGTGACCCACACTGACCAACACTGTGACCTACACAGGTACCCGCACTGTGACCTACACAGGTACCCGCATTGTGACCCGCACTGTGACCTACACAGGTACCCGCATTGTGACCCACACTGTGACCCACACTGTGACCTACACAGGTACCCGTACTGTGACCCGCACTGTGACCCACACTGTGACCCACACTGTGACCCACACTGTGACCCACTCTGTGACCTACACTGTGACCCACACTGTGACCCACTCTGTGACCTACACTGTGACCCACACTGTGACTGACACAGCTGCCCACACTGTGACCCACACTGTGACCCACACTGTGACCCACACTGTGACCCTCACTGTGACCCACACTGTGACCCACATTGACCAACACTGTGACCCACACTGTGACCCACACTGTGACCCACACTGTGACCCACACAGGTACCCACATTGTGACCAACACTGTGACCTACACAGGTACCGGTACTGTGACCCGTACTGTGACCACACTGTGACCCACACTGTGACCCACACTGTGACCCACACTGTGACCACACTGTGACCCACACTGTGACCTACACTGTGACCCACACTGACCCACACTGTGACCTACACTGTGACCCACACTGTGACCCACACTGTGACCCACACTGTGACCCACACAGTGACCCACACAGGTACTCGCCCTGAGTACTCATCAACACGTGGACCCACACAGGGTTCCCACACACTCACAATGGGTACTCGCTCACACATGTGTATCTGTGTGTGTGTGTGTGTATCAGGGTGTGTGTGTATCTGTGTGTGTGTCTGTATGTATCTAGTCCGGCATAACAACCCCCTACCTCCTTGCTGTGCCGGACAGGCAACTCTGCCGTGGACAGTGCTGTGGGGAGAGGGCCAATTCCGATTGGCCCTCTCCCCTCATGGCGTCTGTGACCACCACAGTGGTTAAACGGGGGCTCTGGACGGGTGCGAGGGGCTGGTAACCCCCCCACGTTCAAAAAATTACCACGAAACCACGACTGAAATATGTAACTAATAAGCTTGTGCCGGAGGCCCTGGGGGGACAGGCCTCTATGACGTCTCCTGGCCAAACCCCATTTGGCGGGACCAGGAGATTGAATCTCTACCCTCGGAGCTCCTCCAGAAACAACGAAAAGCCACTTCGTGTGGCCACGTGGAATGTTCGAACGCTCACTGCGGAGGAGAGGCTGCCACTCCTCTGTCGGGAGCTGGACCGGTACCGCCTGGATCTCTGTGGCATTCAGGAGGTCCGGTGGACTGGTTCTGGCTCCTGCCACTATGAGGGATCGACAGTCCTCTACTCGGGCAGCAGACTGCCAAACAACAGGGTGTGGCTCTTCTTTTGAACAATAGAATCAAGGGGGCGTGGGAGTGTGGCGGTGAGGTGTGGGAAGCTGTAAGCCCGAGGCTACTTTGGGCTTGCCTTCCCATCAACCGGAGGCGAGGAGTGGTGGTCGTGGTTACTTATGCCCCCACCGAAGACGAACATCCGTGGAGGGATGCAGGCAAAGCCGATGAGTCAGATGCCTTCTTTGACCTCCTGTCACAGGTGCTGGCTAAAGTGGCCCCTCGGGATAGAGTCATCTTGTTGGGTGACTTCAATGCCCGAGTTGGTCATGATGCTGGCACCTGGTCTGAAGTGATTGGAGGGCATGGGCCAGATCAGCTCAATAACAACGGTAGGAGGCTGCTAGATTTTTGTGCAGCCCATGGGCTTGTAATTACCAACACGCTGTTCCGGCATCGGCACATCCCCACAACATCATGGATGCATGCCGGGTCCAAGCAAGAACATCTGCTGGACTACATAGTGACGGACCAGCGGATGCGAGCCCATGTCCTTGACACCAGGACGTGCCGTGGAGCTGATCTGCCCTCTGACCATCGACTTGTCATCTGTAAAATGCGCCTGCCATTCTTCCACTCCGGTGGTGGATGTACACCCAGGACCCCATTCCAACCTAAAGTGGCCTGGTCTCAGTTATCTGATGAAAGTTGCCAGCGAGAATTTCATCATCGCTTGCGGCTGGGGCTGGCATCGTCCCCCACTCCTCCTGATGTCGAGGGTAAATGGGCGAGGTTTAGGACTGTGACTCATGCAGCTGCAATGGCTGCTTTGGGTACGCGGTCCAGACCTCTCCAGAGACCCTGGCTGACAGAGGAGGTGTTCAGGATGGTTGAGAAAAAGCGACAGGCCCACTGCCATCGGCTACAGAATCCCACGTCACAGAATGAGGAGGCTTACCACAGCCTGCCTTCGCTCGGAGGTTGGGAGAGCCGTGAGGCGCTGCAAGGATGGGTGGTGGTCGCGGGTTGCTGAGGAGATGGAGTCTGCCTCAGTTGCCCGTGATCACAAATCTCTATTTAACTCCATCAAAAAAGTAGCCTGCAGCGCCACACCTATTACCATCATTAGGGGAAAAAATTGTGTTCCAATCTCCAACCCCCAGGAACAGGTTTTCAGATTCACTGAGCATTTCTGTGAGGTCCTGGGGGAGGGGAAATCCCTCAGCCAGGAAAACATCGTGGCACAAAGTGAGGATGACCCTGCTGAGGCTGCGGTGTCTGAAATATTGGAAGAAGTACCCCCTCTGAGTAGCTGGCTGAAGTGCCATCTGTTGAGGAAGTACTGAAGGCGATCTGGAGTCTTGAGACCAGGAAAGGCACCAGGCAGAGATGATCTCCCAAGCGAAATGCTGAGGGAGGGTTGTGTTTGTGCACAGACTGTCCTATATGACATCATAACAACAGCCTGGACCACTGGACAGGTTCCGCAGGATTGGAAGGATGCCCTGGTGGTGCCCCTCTTTAAGAAGGGGGACCGCACAGACTAACAACTACAGGGGCATCTCACTCCTCAGTGTGCCGGGAAAGATCCTGGCAAGGATTATTCAACATCGCCTTGCCAGGCACGCTGAGGAGAGGCTTGCGGAGCCCCAATGCGGTTTCAGGAAAGGGCGGTCCTGCACAGATGCCATATTTTCTGTCCATCTGCTACAGCAGAGGTGTAGGGAATTCCAACAAGACCTACATCACTGCTTTATTGACCTGGTCAGAGCCTATGATACCATAAGTAGGCCTGGGCTCCAGGTTGTTCTTCGTGCTTTGGAGTACCTGACCCTCTGCTCACGATCATTAAGGACCTTCATGATGGTGAGCGGGCCCGGGTAAAACTACGTGGCCGGGAGTCGGAGCCATTCCCTGTACACCTTAGGGTGCGACAGGGATGTCCTCTGGCTCCCACATTATTTAACATCTATTTTGACCACGTAGTTCGTGAAGCCTTCAATAGCTGTACCGGGGGAATCTCCATTTGGTACAGATATAATGGGAGGCTGATCGATGCCCGGTTGCGGTCAAGGTATGGCTCCCTATTACACAACCACGTTATGTTTGCCGATGATTTGGTAATAGCTGCTCATTCAGAGGAGGAGTTGGAGACGCTGCTGCTGAGATTGGAGGGTGCCACTAAGAGATGGGGCCTTACTAACAGCCCCACCAAAACTAAGCACCTGCCTAGATATTTTGAACCATCGGACACTCCACCCCCACAACTCCCAATCGGTGATGGGGCAGTTGTGGAGAGAGTGGAGAGTTTCCCATACCTGGGCAGTGTGCTTATGACCGGCTCCAGTTTAACAGCAGAGGTCTCACTCCGAATCAGTCGAGTGGCAATATCTTTTCATCGGTTGCGTAACGCTGTGTGGAAGCTACCTGGTCTGTCGCTCCGCACTAAGCTTCAGGTCTTCTCGGCCACGGTCATTCCCTCCCTTCTCTACGCTTGCGAAACGTGGACCCCCTTAATGGAGCATTTTCGCCGGTTAGAAAAATTTAGGCTAGCCTGCCTACGATCCATCCTTGGTTTAACCAGGCTGGATTGTGTGAGGAGCTCACAAATATTTGAAAGATCTGGGCAAGGTCCCATCGGTAAGCTCCTCTGGCAGGCAAGGCTGCGTTGGCTGGGTCATGTAGCCCGCATGCCCAGCCACCGCATGCCGAAACAGCTTTTGTTCGGCCGGATCGAGGGGGCTAAACGGGCGCGGCACGGGCTAGAGAAGAAATGGAGTGGCTTGGTAAAGGAGGACGTGGAGCTGAGTGGACTTGCCGATGACTGGTACCAGCGGTGTCAAGATCGGCCTCTGTGGAGGAGGCTCGTGAAGGACGCTACTGGGCAGTTGACGGAGGGCGGAGGAGCGACGCTCACAACAACGAGCGGAGCGCCGGGTGGCTAAAGCACAGCAGGTTGGCACAGTAGGGGGCACAGGTGGTGCACCAGCCAGTCATCTCAGTCAGTCGACCCGTGGCACCTGGGTCTGCCCCGTGACCTCCTGCCAGCGGGCGTTCGACACTTCACGTGGCCTCAAGGTGCACATGGCCTGGCACAAGCGTCGTGATGACGTCACCGTCACTTAGTGGCGAATGGCGGTTGTTGTGTGTATATGTGTGTGTCTGTGTCTGTGTGTGTATCTGTGTGTATGTGTATCTGTGTGTGTGTGTCTGTGTGTGTGTGTGTGTCTGTGTGTGTCTGTGTGTGTATCTGTGTGTATATATCTGTATGTGTGTGTGTCTGTGTGTGTCTGTGTGTGTGTGTGTCTGTGTGTGTGTGTCTGTGTGTGTGTGTGTCTGTGTGTGTGTGTATCTGTGTGTGTGTGAGTAGGGGGGAGCGGTAGTGTAGTAGTTAGCGCGCTGCGCTACAAACCTGGCGACCCGAGTTTGATTCCCGCTCACGGCCACCAACACCGGTGACGATTATCTGAACCGGTCCTGGGCCTCCCCTAGGTCGACTCAGCCTCAAATGAGTACCCGGTGCGGTGTGTAGTAAACATCGCCACTGGGGAGACAAAGGCGGCCGGGCGTGGTGCTGGCCACCCACCCCCTCGTGTGCCGTGCCGGCCTTCACAGGTGCTGCTCGCTAACGGCACTTGCCCCTACAGTCTGTTAAGGCTACACGGGGGATCTTTGCTATCTTTGCGTGTGTCTAGGAGAGAAGAAGTTTCTGTGCGATCTGTGCGGCTTCGCTGGTGGAACCAAACACGCGCTGACGAAGCACCGACGGCAACACACGGGTGAGACGTCACCATCGCCGCCATCATCAACATCGTTATTAACATCAACATCGTCACCATCGTCAACATCGTTATTAACGTCTACATCGTTATTAACGTCAACATCGTCACCATCAACGTGTTGACCACCACCTCCACCACCTTCACCACCACCACCACCCTCACCACCTTCACCACCACCACCATCCTCACCACCTTCACCACCACCACCTCCACCACCACCACCACCATCCTCACCACTTTCACCACCACTACCACCACCATCCTCACCACCACCCTCGCCATCTTCACCACCACCCTCACCACCTTCACCATCACTACCACCACCATCACCACCACTACCACCACCATCCTCACCACCACCCTCACCACCACCACCACCTCCACCTTCACCACCACCATCCTCACCACCACCACCACCATCCTCACCACCTTCATCACCACCACCTCCACCACCACCACTCTCATCACGCTAACCACCCTCACCACCCTCACCACCACCCTCACCACCACCCTCACCACCGTGCTCACCACCCTCACCACCACCACTGTGTGTTGCAGGAGACAAGCCGTTCCGGTGTGAGCTCTGTGCGTTTGCCTCAACCACGCAGTCCCACCTCACCAGGCATCGCCGAGTTCACACCGGGGAGAAGCCCTTCCGCTGCCCCTGGTGCGACTACCGGTGAGTGCCAGGCTAGGTGCACACGCGCGCCTGCGCTGGGCCCAACGGATGTGGAGCTGGGTGGGTGGGTGTGCATGTCCGATGACTTGTGGGTGGGTGGGTGGGTGCGTGAATGTGTGTGTGCGTTTGAATCTTTTGCACCGTACGTGGTCAAACCGTGGTTGTCGGCAGTGCGGGCGATTGGGTGGGTGGGTGAGTGAGTGAGTGACACAGGCTGGACACCCTCCATATCCTCCCCTCCCACCACCACCACCCTGCTCGCCCACGGCGCAGCTCCAACAGTGCGGAGAACATCCGTAAGCACATCCTGAGCGCCGGGGGGGAAAACACACGATGACTTACGCATCTACCAACCGTTCCCACCCCTTCTGCTCCCCCCACACCGTGGCGGAGAACATCCGTAAGCACATCCTGAGCGCGCCGGGGGGGGAAAACACGATGACTTACGCACGTACCAACCGTTCCCACCCGCCCCTTCTGCTCCCCCCCACACGGCACAGCTCCAACTGCGCGGAGAACATCCGTAAGCACATCCTGAGCACGGGCAAGCACGAGGGCGTGCGCATGTACAACTGCCCACGCTGCGCCTTCGGCACCAACCAGCCCAACGAGTTCCGCAACCACCTGAAGGAGGCGCACGGTGACCTGGAGAATCCTGACCTCGCCTACCTGCACGCCGGTAGGCTTTCCACGCCGCCACGAGGCGGCGGCTGAGCTGTCCAGCGGCGGACGCCCGGGAACGAGCGAGCTCTTTTAGTTTCAAAAGAAACCGCGTTTTGATGAAATTTGCCGTTAAATTTCGATTGAAAGCTTTTCGTGTAACTGCAAGGATTCATCTTCTTTGGTTCTTTCGGTAAGGTCACCACCACCACGTAGAATGAGAATGAAATTAATAAATTGATAAATTAAAATGACACAATAATATTCTCACGACGTTTCGGGCCACGACACAAGCGGCCTTCATCAGGCGAAGGGACGAGACTGCCTGGAGGACAGCGCTGGAGCGAACAAAGCCACGCTCAGATCGCGACCTTTAAGCTGTGTGAGAAGAAACAAAGCGCCTTGACAAAGGAATTAATATAGAATTTAGCATTGAAATGGCTGAGTGATTAGCTTGTGACTGGTCGCAGAAATGGCTATGTTAAAGTCAAAGCATCCACATCCACAGAGGCACCCCTTGACAAAGGAATTAGCATATAATTTAGCATTGAAATGGCTGAGTGATTAGCTTGTGACTGGTCGCAGAAATGGCTATGTTAAAGTCAAAGCATACACATCCACAGAGGCACCCCTTGACAAAGGAATTAGCATAGAATTTAGCATTGAAATAGCTGAGTGATTAGCTTGTGACTGGTCGCAGAAATGGCTATGTTAAAGTCAAAGCATACACATCCACAGAGGCACCCCTTGACAAAGGAATTAGCATAGAATTTAGCATTGAAATAGCTGAGTGATTAGCTTGTGACTGGTCGCAGAAATGGCTATGTTAAAGTCAAAGCATACACATCCACAGAGGCACCCCTTGACAAAGGAATTGGCATAGAATTTAGCATTGAAATAGCTGAGTGATTAGCTTGTGACTGGTTGCAGAAATGGCTATGTTAAAGTCAAAGCATACACATCCACAGAGGCACCCCTTGACCAAGGAATTAGCATAGAATTTAGCATTGAAATAGCTGAGTGATTAGCTTGTGACTGGTCGCAGAAATGGCTATGTTAAAGTCAAAGCATACACATCCACAGAGGCACCCCTTGACAAAGGAATTAGCATAGAATTTAGCATTGAAATAGCTGAGTGATTAGCTTGTGACTGGTCGCAGAAATGGCTATGTTAAAGTCAAAGCATACACATTCATAGAGGCACCCCTTGACAAAGGAATTAGCATAGAATTTAGCATTGAAATAGCTGAGTGATTAGCTTGTGACTGGTCACAGAAATGGCTATATTAAAGTCAAAGCATACACATCCACAGAGGCACCCCTTGACAAAGGAATTAGCATAGAATTTAGCATTGAAATAGCTGAGTGATTAGCTTGTGACTGGTCGCAGAAATGGCTATGTTAAAGTCAAAGCATACACATCCACAGAGGCACCCCTTGACAAAGGAATTAGCATAGAATTTAGCATTGAAATAGCTGAGTGATTAGCTTGTGACTGGTTGCAGAAATGGCTATGTTAAAGTCAAAGCATACACATTCACAGAGGCACCCCTTGACAAAGGAATTAGCATAGAATTTAGCATTGAAATAGCTGAGTGATTAGCTTGTGACTGGTCGCAGAAATGGCTATGTTAAAGTCAAAGCATCCACATCCACAGAGGCACCCCTTGACAAAGGAATTGGCATAGAATTTAGCATTGAAATAGCTGAGTGATTAGCTTGTGACTGGTCGCAGAAATGGCTGTTAAAGTCAAAGCATCCACATCCACAGAGGCACCCCTTGACAAAGTAATTAGCATAGAATTTAGCATTGAAATAGCTGAGTGATTAGCTTGTGACTGGTCGCAGAAATGGCTATGTTAAAGTCAAAGCATACACATCCACAGAGGCACCCCTTGACAAAGGAATTAGCATAGAATTTAGCATTGAAATAGCTGAGTGATTAGCTTGTGACTGGTCACAGAAATGGCTATATTAAAGTCAAAGCATACACATCCACAGAGGCACCCCTTGACAAAGGAATTAGCATAGAATTTAGCATTGAAATAGCTGAGTGATTAGCTTGTGACTGGTCGCAGAAATGGCTATGTTAAAGTCAAAGCATACACATCCACAGAGGCACCCCTTGACAAAGGAATTAGCATAGAATTTAGCATTGAAATAGCTGAGTGATTAGCGTGTGACTGGTTGCAGAAATGGCTATGTTAAAGTCAAAGCATACACATTCACAGAGGCACCCCTTGACAAAGGAATTAGCATAGAATTTAGCATTGAAATAGCTGAGTGATTAGCTTGTGACTGGTCGCAGAAATGGCTATGTTAAAGTCAAAGCATACACATCCACAGAGGCACCCCTTGACAAAGGAATTAGCATAGAATTTAGCATTGAAATAGCTGAGTGATTAGCTTGTGACTGGTCGCAGAAATGGCTATGTTAAAGTCAAAGCATACACATCCACAGAGGCACCCCTTGACAAAGGAATTAGCATAGAATTTAGCATTGAAATAGCTGAGTGATTAGCTTGTGACTGGTCACAGAAATGGCTATATTAAAGTCAAAGCATCCACATCCACAGAGGCACCCCTTGACAAAGGAATTGGCATAGAATTTAGCATTGAAATAGCTGAGTGATTAGCTTGTGACTGGTCACAGAAATGGCTATGTTAAAGTCAAAGCATACACATCCACAGAGGCACCCCTTGACAAAGCTATTTCAATGCTAAATTCTATGCTAATTCCTTTGTCAAGGGGTGCCTCTGTGGATGTGTATGCTTTGACTTTAACATAGCCATTTCTGTGACCAGTCACAAGCTAATCACTCAGCTATTTCAATGCTAAATTCTATGCTAATTCCTGAGTGATTAGCTTGTGACTGGTCGCAGAAATGGCTATGTTAAAGTCAAAGCATACACATCCACAGAGGCACCCCTTGACAAAGGAATTAGCATAGAATTTAGCATTGAAATAGCTGAGTGATTAGCTTGTGACTGGTCGCAGAAATGGCTATGATAAAGTCAAAGCATACACATCCACAGAGGCACCCCTTGACCAAGGAATTAGCATAGAATTTAGCATTGAAATAGCTGAGTGATTAGCTTGTGACTGGTCGCAGAAATGGCTATGTTAAAGTCAAAGCATACACATCCACAGAGGCACCCCTTGACAAAGGAATTGGCATAGAATTTAGCATTGAAATAGCTGAGTGATTAGCTTGTGACTGGTCGCAGAAATGGCTATGTTAAAGTCAAAGCATACACATTCACAGAGGTGCCTAGTGCAAATCAAACAGGAGAATTTAGCATTGAAATAACTAGGAGAATTTAGCATTGAAATAACTGAGTGATTAGCTTGTGACTGGTCACAGAAATGGCTATGTTAAAGTCAAAGCCTACACATCTGAGCTATTCACAGTAACTGGGTATACACTACACTATATATTGAATACTATATACTATGTAGTAAAATTTACCGTTGTAATGGAAGGACCCCCACAAGTCCAGGAAGTAGGGCCCCCAAAGCTTTGCCGTAACGTAAAGGGGGGGACCATATTCCTGTTTCTTTCGGTAAAGTCGCGTAGAAGGGAAACCATAAAATAGTTATGTTTTTATTATATAATAATTTTAGTGTTTTACAATAATTTTATTGTTTTATGTTTTTATTATTTTGTTGTTTTCCTCCTACATGGTGGTGACTTTACCGAAAGAACCAAGAATAATAATTTTATTGTTTTACGATAATTTTATTGTTTTATATATTTACTATTTTATTGTTTCCCTTCTACGTGGTGGTGACTTTACCGAAAGAACCAAGAATATTAATTTTATTGTTTTACAATAATTTTATTGTTTTATATTTTTATTATTTTATTGTTTCCCTTCTACGTGGTGGTGACTTTACCGAAAGAACCAAGAATAATAATTTTATTGTTTTACAATAATTTTATTGTTTTATATTGTTATTATTTTATTGTTTCCCTTCTACGTGGTGACTTTACCGAAAGAACCAAGAATAATAATTTTAGTGTTTTACAATAATTTTATTGTTTTTTGTTTTTATTTGTTTATTTGCCTTTTACGTCGTGACTTTACTGAAAGAACCAAGAATAATAATTTTATTGTTTTACAATAATTTTATTTTTTATATTGTTATTATTTTATTGTTTCCCTTCTACGTGGTGACTTTACCGAAAGAACCAAGAATAATAATTTTATTGTTTTACAATAATTTTATTGTTTTATATTTTTATTATTTTATTGTTTCCCTTCTACGTGGTGGTGACTTTACCGAAAGAACCAAGAATAATAATGTTATTGTTTTACAATAATTTTATTGATTTATATTTTCATTATTTTATTGTTTCCCTTCTACGTGGTGGTGACTTTACCGAAAGAACCAAGAATAATAATTTTATTGTTTTACAATAATTTTATTGTTTTATATTTTTATTATTTTATTGTTTCCCTTCTACGTGGTGGTGACTTTACCGAAAGAACCAAGAATAATAATTTGATTGTTTTACAATAATTTTATCGTTTTATATTTTTATTATTTTATTGTTTCCCTTCTACATGGTGGTGACTTTACCGAAAGAACCAAGAATATGAATCCCTGCAGTCGTGAAAGCTTTAAATCAAAATGTAAGGGGGGCCGTGGTGATTTACAGCCAACGTCAGTTGAGCTGTGGACATAACGAAACGTAACATGAATGTTTTAAAATAAATGTTGTTTTTATTTTTAATGATGGCATATGGTACTGCCACCGGTATCACATAGGTATGCCAAGTTTTGCAGTCGATAGCACATGGGGAAGTGGGTAAGAGATTCCAGGATGCGGCAACGTCAACGGACGGAGCGAGTTAAATGACAGCGTGTTACACAAATATGATTTGACCGGGTAACGGGGGGAGGGGTGTCGCACGGAGCCTTGGTTAGCAATATTTCTTCAGACGCGAAACCTGAGCCATCGAGATGGCTCAACGGAAGCGGACGATCATCGTCATCGTCATCGTCACGTGGACGTGTAATAGCGGCAGTCGGAAACGCTCGGAACGCC